AACAGATCCCACGTCATCTCCGAGAGATTTACTATCTCCTCGGCAGATGCCAAGACACGTTGGAGCACCTCAACTGAGGATGCCTCCGGCATTTTGTCTTCAACGGCCTCGAACAACTCGTTCGTAGGTCCGTCCTCTTGGACCGAGACTGATCCAAGGGTCACTCGTTTCGACGTGCCCTTGATCGTCTTCATACGTCTGGTGCTCGTTCTTCGAGTCACCACGACCTTTGACCTGGAAGAAGGTGTCATTGCTATCTCAGCTAACGCACTCCTTCCAACCGCACCAGGCTCTTGGCTCTGTGCCGATTCGTGTGGCGCTTGACTTCCTGTCAGCCCCATCATGAACTGCCACAGGCTCTCGGCTCTGTGCAGGACTATTGGACGCATGACTACCTGTCATCGCCCCATTCACTACACCAGTCTCTTGGACCTGGGTAGGAATATGTGTCACCTGGCTTTCCGCCAGTGCACTCACAACTACACCACACCTTTCGAGCTGGGTAGTTCCTGGTGTCGATTGACATACCGTCATCGCACCCTCGACTGTGTTGGACACAGCATCACCTCTCGCAAGAGCACATCCTTTCCTGTGTCTTGCGTAGAGCTAGCGACTGTGCGTGTACGCCAGTCTATCCGTGGTTGGTGTTTAGCCAACCAAGGCATGCCTAGGATGAGGTCATATGGACTCTCCATACCTAGCACTGTGAACTTCTCTTTACAAGAGAAGTCACTGAAACTGAAGGCGAGTTCAACTTGAACTCCCTCCGATTTGACGAGAGCGCCGTTCGCTAAACGAGCGATCGCCTCTTCTCGTTTGCCATCCTGGCAAAGCGACTCATAACTCGCCGGTCTCTTTTTCAAAGCCGCGAGTTTCACAAAGTTTTGTGATGCACCCGAATCCACGAGAAGGGTCATCACTTGGTCATAGCCTCGTACTCGAGCGCTATAGACCAAAAGGGTTGAGGTCCGACCTTTCGGAACCTCAGGGACTATGCTACCCATTTGTTCGATCACTCTGAACTTAGGGGTAGCTTCAGAGTCCGCGACAGTAGGGCATACCGCCTCTACTGCGCTCCCGCATTTCCCGACCCATCTTGGGCAGGTGCTGAACCCGTGCGTCGTGCACGCTGGTTTTTCGCACCTCCCTTCGGGTTGGGCGACCTTTTGCTGGCTGCCTTAGCACCAGAAGCTACCTTGGCATAGCAGCGAGCCATCATATGGCCTCGCTTGCCGCACTTGTAGCAGATCACATCTGCATTGCCTAACTCCATAGGAGTGGCATCAGACCTTTCGGACGACGGCCTGTAATAGGCTGTCGCCGAGGCGCTGTTGTAGGATTGCTCCTCAACTAAGGCAATGTCAATTGCCTCTTCCATCGTAGCTGGCACCTTTCTGAAAAGGGCCTGACGCGATGGGCCATGCCTAAGTCCATTCATGAACGTGGCTACCTTGATACGCTCTGGTATCGGTTCCCCATTGATGGACGCCGACAGCGAACGCATCTCCTGCACAAACTCTTGCAGAGAGCGTTTAGCCTGTCGTGCTCCAAAGAAGCGCGCCATAAGCTACACTTCGTTGTTAGGCGGCTGATACATGGCGCGAATCTTTGACTTAAAGATCGCCCATGATGGAAATGCATTAGCATTAGCCATCAGCGCAGAGTATGCCCACTCTGACGCTTTGCCACGCAAGTTGGACATGGCATACGACACCATTCTGGTGTCGTCTTCGATGAGCTGCGCCACTCCACATTGCTCAACTGCTAATAGCCAGTGAACAATCGTGTGAGGGCTAGTTCCATCGAACTTCGGAGGGTCCATCCGAATGGGCCTCGGTTGAGCAGGCCGGGCAGAGAGCGTCTCAACAGTCCTGTTGAGCGCCTCATTACGTGCCTGCTCAAGCCTAAGCTCATCCTGAGTCTTAGTGGTGGACTCAGCGTTGGCTTGGCTGTTTACCTCGGACGCGTTTCTACGCTGTCCGAGCACAAACGCCTCAAATTGCTCCAACTGAGCAACATGTTGCTCAGGAGGACAATGTAAGAGATTGACCAGGGCTTTTTCACCAAGTACCTGCGCCATATGCTCTGCCAACTCCCTATGATGTTGGGAGAGGTGAGGGAAGTCACTCCAATCCATATTAAGTACCATGTCAACCACACGCACGCTCAGAGAGACGGGTCGTGGGAAGGACTACAAGTGCTACCAAGTGTAGACGGGCACTTCTACGAAGTTGCCTCGTACTACGAGCACACACCTTATGCACAAGCGAGGAAGCGGTTAGACCGTCTTACCTTCGCGTGCGAGGGTGGTTGGGAGGTTGGTCGACTGCTTAAGCAGTCGTACCACCAGTTGCCTCTCGCTTGAGCGAGAGTGCAACGAACTTCTTAACGCTTACAACACCGACGTCACGCAGAAGTTTCTCAACTTCTCGTGCGTGGTGTGCTTGTTTAAGTAAATTCAAGACTGATTTATATTTAATAGATTTTAACTAAATGTAAATCTAACTACTGATTGGTTAATATGTAATGATGGGTGCCATCTCTATAGATGCGCATCCCAACGTGCGAGCTTAAATATATTTAAGCTCGCTCAATGACGTAACTGACTGACGTCATTTGATGACGCCTAGTCCCAGCTGGGCGTCATCCCCATCAATGTGAATACACCTAGTGTATATCACATACGCAAGGGTGTGACACATGGTGTGTCTCACCCGAGCGACAGGTCTTAAGTACTTACGTACCTTTTAAGACCTGCCCGTTAAGTATCGCATACTTAACGGGTACGTGTAACGTTGAGCCCGTTACAAGACCAACGCTGCTTTCGGGTGATGCTGTAAAATTCTGTTTGTGGACTACTATTCCGGCATGACGAACATCTACATAATTTTGTAGCATGCAGACCCGCCGTACCCATTCAAGTTAACAGACTTGAACCAGATGCTACGGACGCGACTGACACGGACCAGTGGTAACGACGAAGCCTTGTTCATCCTACAATTTTGCGGTAGAACGACTGCAGTTAAGTATAAGGATCACGATGGTATTGATATAGCACTGGCACATAACGGGTTCAGGTTGCGTCGGATAGGGTGGTGGCGTTTGTTTGCAGTAGCGCTGCTCGTAATCTGAAAGACAATAAAACAAAGCCGAACGTGACCTAGTCAGGATCACACGCAAGGTCCGGTACGTCACATGTTCATAGGTGCAGCTGGATCTTTGCACGCTTTTTTTTAGAAGAGAGAGGAGTTGTGTGCGACATGGTACGGATCATTGAGGTGAAGGACGCGATTGCTTGGCCGGCTACAAATAAAAACAAGTGACATTAGATTCAAAGACATTGAAAATCTTGAGAGCTACATGCGGTGACTTCTAACAATGAGGATTGCATGAACTTTCGCTCAGACGTCTATTGTACTCCGGCAATTGCGCCGTCACTAATGTGTGCAGCTTTCCATCGCAGGGCACATGTCGTTGAGCTTTTTGAGAATGTGTGGGTGTTCTGCGACGAATGCTGTTGTTATCAGGATATGTACAATCGGGGTCATGGGTTCCAAAACGTTTTCGTCAGACTTGGTGATCAAGTGAAATACTGGGTTCTAAGAAACGCGAATACTCGATACTGCAGACGTTCACATGGCAAAATATGCTTTGTAAATCTCTGATACGATTCTAGCTGCCGCTTTCTGCGCAAAAAACATTGACCATCAGTGTGCTGTTTTTAAATAGCCAAAACAACTTGCATTGCGATATCGCTCGGCCCAAGCAATGTATCGGCGGATCAGCATAGTAATGTGTCACCGCAATTGATGACAGCCGTCAATGACATCGTGGCTTTGGCTGGTAGTCGACAGGGTGCTGTGACACAGATTATGCCAAATCATCAATTCTATGCAAGGCTTGAATGAAAGACATCCAAATTGCAGCGGAAGTTGCATTCCAATACTTAGTCGGAATGGATACATATGCAAAGCTTCAGTATAGGCATTTTCTTGTGTAGCTTGGTTGGGGTTTGTGTCCGAAGCCATAGCTTGGTCAGAGGTCAGCGTAACGTCCATGGCATTGAGGTGATTGGCTGCCACGAAGGACACCAAGTACACAAGAGCGATAGCGATCGGAGCAAGTGTCATCTTCATCGTGGCGAATCTGAAGTCGACTTGAGTTTCTAGAGCTCAATTGAATAGTGGCCGTGGATTGGGAACCAGACATTGAAGTACATTGACCACGTAAGCCTTACTTAGTCGTTTGCTTCAGGAGAGTTCGCTGACTTTGCAGATTAGAGCAGGTGTATGTATGTATTCGCTCCGAAGTTGCGAGATTTCTTGAGTTTTTGTCATCAAACTGATGAAAGATGCCGAGTATTACCATTCCAAGATCTGGCAGAAACCATTTCTGAGAAAAGAGGTGGAGTAGGCATGCCAAATCTTAATTACCTGATGTCCTCAGTTCAACTAGACGACTCCGTAGCTGGCCATGGAGGTCGCAGCCATTGACGTCATAGCAGAGGCGACTTCCACAATGGTATCTGGTAAACTCTAGTATAATTTACATGTGTGAAGCTAGCTTCCCAGTTCTATTCGCAACTAAACACTTTAGCTTTAACTTACCTTCATCTTGGATGTCCTACAGTATTAGAAAACATGTATCTTTCGACAAAGATAACTGCATCACTGACTCCTACTTTCATACAATGAGCCGACTCCTACGTTGCCAACGACGGCAAAAGTTGATCATAGATATCGTGATGAAGAACGGAGTCTTAGCCGATATGCGTTCACTTTAAGCTTTTCAACAATCAACACATTGCATTTCGCATCAACTCACTTTTCAAAGTGCCATCGGGGCTGCTTGGCTGCTTGCTTGTTTCTTTGGTAAGCTGGCTCATCCGTCTACGCAGATTGTAATCCAACAACTGCTCACACTGAGCGCATCCGTAACGCGGATCGGTCCGTTTGAGGTGCCACTTGTAAAGAGTGGCTTGACTCTTGCCCTCCCCCCATTTAGACGTGGACGTTCTTGCCATTAAGCGAGTTGAGAATAGTGAGGACGTCTCGGAGGACGCCAGTAGCGCTAGCAGCAGCACCTGTACCAGAGCCCTTCAGAACAAGTGGGTTCGGGTATTGCACTGAGGAGAAGCCGAAAGCTATTTCATTGTCTTTGGTGTAAAAGGCCGGGTGGTCCTCGCTAATGAGCAGTGGCTTGATCGTGGCTTGGATCGACGGAAACTTGGCCAAGTCGATCGAAGCAACGTAGTGAAGACGTTTGCTCTCCGCCACAGCAGGTATGTAGTATTTCTCCCGAAAAGTCGCATCGTACGCCTCAAGTCCGGTAACAATATTGTTCACCTCTAGATCATTAGACCACGCAATAGTGTCAAGCACGCTCTGCGGGATCAGAGGCTCTAGTTGAACTGCGCTCGCGCTAATATGCACACCGAGAGCACGAGCCAATACGACGATTTTGGCGACCATATCGGTACCAGTGAAGTCCTCGCGTGGGTCTCGCTCGCAGTAGCCTTTGCGAAGTACCTCTCCAACAGCTTCAGAAAGTTTTTTGCCCTTCATCACCTCGTTTGCAACAAAGTTCATTGATCCACTCAACGTCGTCTCGATGCGAAGCACTCGGTCACCCATGCGCAAGATGTTGCCAAGGGTTTCAACGACAGGCAAACTTGCACCTATAGTCGACGTGTACATGAAGAACGTACGACCAGTCTTGGTGCGAGTGGTAGCGACACTTTCACGCGATGAAGTAGGAGGAAGACAGCACACCGAGCGGGCATTGGAGGCAACAACGTGGATGCCACGCTCAATACAAGCCGAGTAGAGGTCTTGCGTGCTACCCTGACCTGAGCAGTCGACCAGGATTGGGATTGCCAAATCCTGCAGCTGGTCTAGCTGCTCAAGCGAAGGAGCACCAGAGTACGGCATTTTTCCAGTTGACAGCGACGCGGACACGACAGCGCTCGTACTCTTGCAGTTTTCTAGACGCAAAATGAGTTCCTCGAACGAAAAGCCCTTTGAATTGTAAAGAAAATCGCAACATTTGGAGCCGAAGCCAACGATGTTCACGTGGGCCTTGTGTTGGTAGCGGTAAAGCTCCCGCTGCTTCTGAAGCTGACGGACAACATCTAATGTAATGTGGTTGCAGCCCAGCAGCACAACGTTTGTCACGAGGTAGTCCACGTTGAAAGTGTCGTGCACGCGACGCACAGCTATTTTCGTGTCGGCACCGCGAATTATACAACTTAGCGAGCGTGAGCTCGTACCCTGACCGACAGCAAGCACTTCGATACCAGCGTCAGCAAGAGCTCCGAAGAATTTTGTCTGGTTGTACGGCACCTTGGACAGGTCTTCGGCCACGACGGAAAGCATAGTCACGGGAGAAATCGAGTTCACAGGGTCTACTTCGTGGGACTCGATTTCAGCACTCAGCTCGACGTTGATGGCAGCGCAGGCCTGTTCCTCACTGCTGCGAGGAATCACGACGCTTATTGCTTGTCCGTGGGCACCACGGATCGAGAGCCACACAGGGATCTTGAGCTCTTCCAGTACCTTCGTCACACGAGCACCGATGTTCTCCTGCTGGTGAGAGTCACTACTGCCATCCTGCAGAATGCGTGTACGAGCCTCAATAACCGTCAGGTTCTCCAATGATGTGGTACATGTTTCAGGCGTACCCGAGCGGCTAATGCCGCTAATATATGTACCATGGCCATTCGGGTCCATGGTGTTGCGAATGAGCATGGTCGCATCGCCTTTGATAAGCGGAACCATGGTGCGCGCGTGAAACATACGCGTACCATAGACCGCAAGCTCCAAAGCTTCATGGTGGTTCAGGTGAGAAAGCGCCACGGCACGTTCCACGATCGCTGGATCTGCTGTCATGACACCAGAGATGTCCGTATTGATGAGCACGTAGTCGGCATCGAGGGAAGCACCAACTAGTGTTGCCGTGTAGTCGGATCCGTTACGTCCCAGCGTGGTAGTGCGACCACCGCGTGTACGAGCAATGAAGCCCGTGATCACTGGTACTGTGTTGGGCTTCCACTGCTTTGCCATCTCCAGTAGCTTTTCCTTGGACTCGTCAAAGAAGACTTTAGCACAGCCATGGGTGTTATCAGTGATCAACCACTTTCTAGCATCCAGATAAAACGCTTCGACACCCGCTTTCGTCAATAATTTGGCGACAATATTGGCGCTAATACGTTCGCCATACGACAGAACCGTGTCCGTCGCTGCAGTCGTGAGTTCCTCCAACAAGGAGATACCAAATAGCAATTCCCGAAGAGGTTTAAAATGGTCAACAATCACATCAGTCATGTCTTCGAACTGCTCCACTTGTAATTCTTTTTGTGTTTCATGGGCGTTCGTAAGCGTCAGTGCTTGCAACATGTCCACGACTTTCAGTGCATTGTCGGCATCTCCTTTAGCTGCAAGTGTCGCTGCTTTCAACAAGTGATCGGTCGTATGACCCATGGCCGATACAACTACAGCCAAGATACGCTCACGTTCATTACGAACAATGTGTACAAGGCCACAAAGTCTCGATGGACTACCAACAGACGTCCCACCAAATTTGTAAACGTTGCGTTTGCCATTGCAGTGATCCAAGTGACTGAGTTTTGCAGTAGAGAGAGACAACGTGTCGTTGGTAGTCAAAGAAATGGGATCGACTAGTACTTCCTTGGACCAATTAGCTCCAATGAGCATTGACGGTGACATGCAGTCCATTTGTATCAAGAAGTTTCGTACGTAAAATGACTGGAGATGGTGCTTCTTATGGTTTTAATTGGTACATCACAATGGATGATTGGATTGAAATATGGAGAGGGGGTGCACGAGTATTTTTTTCTTTGTGTGTTGAGTCATACTGCTAATTTTTTGTAAGGACTTGTGCCTACGATATGGTCACCTGGATACAGTAGTAGGAGTGGGGAAGGACGCTTCGCGGTATGATCAAGCGTTCACTATATCTTTCCTGAATGAAGATAGACGATTGTGTTTATTATGTAGATGTAAAGTGTTTCCGCATGTGTAAGTGAGTGCGTGAAATTAGCTCTGCTACATGAAGTCAAAACCTCGAGGATACGCGATGTATGTTTTGCAGCTGTATCTATAGCCTTAGAACGCGGGGGGATATGAGAATGCTAATGAAACAGCCATAACTGTCACCGATTAAGGCCTAAGATGGGATAGTAGGGTGAGAGGAAGAATCAAAGAAAAGGTCCCTCGAGGTCAGGAATTCGTAGCGTCAAGAAAATATCTACGTATCCGAGATCTTCCTATCAGTCATACATCAGTTTATGAGCAGTACATATAGATATCTTTCGGAGACGGTGTTTATCATTTTCCAGTGTTGGAATTTCTTCGTGCTAGCTATATGTGGCCTTTGTCGCCTTCGACAGTTTCAACTGATGTCAACTTGACTAACAAAGTGAAGACGTTATGGTCATCAATTCGAAAATCAAGTGTGAGAGATATAGATGACGATGAAAACTTAGTGGAGTCCAAGCGTCATCGTCGAGAGAAGTCGTGGTACGCGCATATGATACTTATTCACTTGTCCGAGTTTGGGGCTGAAGCAGCACGTGGTCTGGTTTTACCGACACTATATACGTACGTCCAGGAACTTGGTGGCGGGTTAAAGGATATTAGTCTACTCATTGCTCTCTTCAGTCTCGGCAAGTTCTTTTCGTCCTTGTTACTTGGCTGGCTGTGTGACCGCTCGTCGTTTCAAGTGCTTTACAATATCGCAGGAAGCTGTGCCGTATTGGGCAATTTGATGTACGTGCTGCCATACAGTCCTTCAGTGCACAGCAGGATGTTGCTCGCACTCAGTCGGTTTGTTATTGGCTTTGGAGCTGGCAATCGAAGTGTCTGTCGAGCCAATATCGCAATGCTCACGCGTGTCGATCAAAGATTGCAGTACTTTACTATCTTCGCCACGGTTGTTTACCTCGCGTATGCATTGACACCAGGCTTTACAGTTTTAGTGGGAGATACACAGCTCCAAGTTGCAGGTGGTCTGCTGCACTTTAACCGATTTACCGCCCCAGGTTTCTTGCTTGTAGTGTTCAACTTGTTCACGATCGGTTTTAACAATCTCATCTACGATGATTCGATTTCACGCGATGACGCTCCAGAATCTCCAAAGGTTATTGTAGCTGCTATGGTTCCATCACCCCAGAGCACTGATCCGAGTATGAAGAAAATTTCAATTGCTGTTAATGATTCTGACATCGATAACAGCAAAGCTGCCGGAAAGATGACCATACAAGTTCTCCAAAGAGAGGCTGCGCCACCTATTTTGTCCGATGGAGCGGTGACTGTGGGCATACTCGTGTTTGTTTTCTTAAATCTTAACGTGCGCGGGATCCTCTCCATCTTCGAGACTGTAAATGTGCCGCTGTTTTTCGAGATGACGAATCGAAGTACCATCAAGGAGCAGGATTCAGTCGAGGCGACACAGGAAGCATCTGCCTTCTATCTCGTCGTTGGACTATTTGGATTAATTTCCTACGGTTCGGTGCAGGCATTGCACAAGCGAATCTCCGACATAGGCTGTCTACTCTTCGGCTTTGCCATGCTGCTCGTCGGTAACGCAATTCTGCTGACATTGTGTACAGACATGCCTGTGAACAAAGAACAAGGTGAAGATATCATCAAGAACCATTTGCAGCAGCAATTTAACGTTTTTGTGGCTGCTGAGGTGTTTGTCTGGAGCGTTGGTTGTCCACTTACATCTGCTGTCGTCGTGTCGGCATTCTCAAAGGTGCTTGGGTCACGACCACAAGGTCTACTTATGGGCATATTTGGCGCCTCAGCGTCGGTGGCTCGTATCGTATTGCCATTTTTGCCAAGTCTGCTGGTGTCTTGGCCTTTGCTTTTCCTCGTCAATTTGGTACTGTGTGCGATCTGCATTCTTGTGCTAACGTTGTATCTTGGCTTTATCTCTAGCCAAGGTAACCAGGTCAATGATCAATCTCGAGTGACCTACGAAAGCGTCCAGCTTTACTCGGACGGCCAAGAGCCCATCCGTCTAGCAGCTTGATCTCATGCAACCGGCAAGACTAATATTTGATTAACGAGTTGCGCATTCTTGTTTCGAGTCTTCTCAGTCGACAGCAGAAATTTCACAGTACTCACGCCAAAGACATCTCCTCTCTATCGATCGGAAAGCGCATAGCTAACTAAGTAAAGGGTGAAAACAGTAGACCGCCGAAAGGCTGCCACCGAGTACTTGATCCTCGTTGTCGCCACTTAGTCAACCTACCCAAGCAACAAAGAATTTGGAGCAGTCGTGCACCGGTATCTAGCGTCCTAAGAGAAGTTATCAGTAATATCAGCTGACTATACCTGTGGATTAGTTCTGGAAGAAAGTCACTAGCAGGCTACTTTCTCCTCTGCAAAGTTACCTACTTCGTTGGAGACGGTATTTCCTGCGTTCCTTGAGCGCGCCGAACACGGGCAAGACGAAGAGGCACGCCGGCAAACCTGATCATTAAGCAAAGATGCACAGTATCATCATACCTTGAAGTGACAAAATACTGCGTTGGCAGAATGCTCAGACATCCACTTAGCATACAGGTTCTTCATTCTAAACTTGAAGCTGCTTGTCCATGTTATTTGATGTCACACGAAGCGCAAGAAAGAACACAACGAGTAACACGACTGTGCCTCTGGAGCTTCCCTTTTTTCCTCGGCTCTCAAACGCTCTGAACGCTGTGAAGCTCGGTATCATCAACTGCACTGGCATCAAAAATGTTCTCATTCTGGTCGGATAGAGTAGGTGAAGATGATGGATCACCTAGCGGAGAGCTGTGCAAAGCATTGTGCCTCGGTGTAAACTCAAAGGTGGTCTCATTCGATCCATCGTCTTGCGTCTTGTCCTCCATCGGCATTTTACCCTTTAGGTACATGTATTCGTTGTAGGTGTCGCGGTACTTGCGGTGGATGATGAGAATAGCCATCAGCAGCAGCAGAACAAGGAAGCCCACAATTACAACGGCCACATAGACCGAGTAGAGAGCCTTTGTATCGAGCACGACGGCGCTCTCCGTACATGCAGCAATCGCATCAGAGCTCTCCGATTCAGGACCACCGTAACACGCTAACTTGCGAGCATACGATACTAACTGCTCACCACCATTACAAGCTGAGCGAAGTTCGTGGAAGTAGTCGCGATCACAGATCGGACAAGCATACGCAGTCTTCCAGACAATATCCCAATTGCACTCGTTATCGTCATGTGATGCAGACGAAGGTTTACTAGTCGTGCCTATTCAAATGATCGCACATGAGTCAGTTTGTTAACCAAAGAATCAAATAGTGCTCTTTTTTCTTACCACTGCTGAGATCACACTCAAAATTGAACGTTGTTGACATTGTCCTGCCGTTGGCACATGGTGACCCACCCGTTAAAGAGACCTTCAGACCAGCGCCTGATTGTAATGGCAATATGTCCATATGGCTGCCACCACTCGCAAGCTTCCATTGCTATAACAAAGACATAGTACACATTAATGATCTAAACATTTTGCAAAGATTTCTTGCGACAATTACCGCTGGAGCCGAGCACAAGACTTCGCCGTATATGCCACTTTTTTGCAAAATGTAGTGGCCCGCTTCGTGTGGATTCAACATGCTGGCAAAGACCACGTATGCAACTTCGCTGTCCGTATCCACTTCTTGGTCCACAACCTGACCTGGGACATTTTGTAACCATCTGCTCCCGAGGGGGCGGAAAAGTCCGGTGAACCAAAAGTTTTGGCTGTTCGCTTGAAAGACCATCGAAGACTCCACCGGCTTCGTTCCAAGCAGACTCGTTGAACCTCCGTAAACCGTGTCGTCCAGGATCCAGCTTTCATTGCCCCACACAAGCGACTCCAATAGTGACAGGTTGTAAGTCAACTGCAAACCATCGAGCGCTGACGACACGGCAGCAGACGGTGACGAAGATGGCAACTCCGCCACCTCCATAGACGAGCTAGCATTCAGCGTCAGCACTTGAGGAGCGGCGCAAGTCACTGCACCAGAATTACTGTAAGTATTCATACCACATGGAATGCACTCTGCTGCTCCCTCCTTTGAGTATGTGTTTGCTGGGCATTTAGCGCATGCAACAATTCCAGTTGAGTCTCCTGATTCAGTAAACGTGCCAGCAGGGCAAATACGGCAGCCATGCGTTTGCTGGTCGTCGTTTGGAATTGTCGGTTCGTATCCTGATGGGCAGCTATCGCAGTTCACGCCGGCACCGTCTAGGGTGCCCGTAAATCCTAAAGATACTACTTTTGCCTCAATCGAGCGTTTCGCCTGGGCACTGGTTGCTCGCACCACAAAGACAAACTCTTTTACTAATGCAGCTGTAACATTGAAGTGTACAACTTCGGTGAACGTGCCATTCTCACCACCATGATGCAGATGGACAACTCTGTGGTTCTTGCCTGTCCCGCCAATGTCACCAGTACTAATGTCGGTGCTATTCAGCGCGCTTGAAAAATCCATTTTGCTTTTTGTTTTTTTGTTGCGGTCGCCGGCGTCGCGAATTTCCAGCTCAACCCAAGCACGTGCACCATCAGTCGCAAATGTGGGAACATTGCTCAATTCGTATGTTATGTTCAGCGAACCAGAATGGATGAAAGGCACATTGAACGACAAGGCCGTACGACTACTCCAGTCACCGGCATCATCATCGTCGCTTGTGTGTTGTGCAAACTTCACCCCGCTCTTTGTAAGCTTCCACCCTGCACGCTGAGCTTCTTTGGCGTTAAAGATTGGGGGCCAGGAGCTCCACACGTCCGGTGTTCCCACACCAAACTCAAGCGCGTTAACAACAACTGTGCCAGCAGGACACTCTTCACATCTACCGAAAGGGGTGACGACTTGACCAATAGCACAAGCTTCACACTCATCTCCATCCGAAAGTATGTAGCCCCGTGCGCAGCTAGCACACTCAATGCCTTTCTGCGGTGGAGGAAGTTTAATGCTCTGCTTCAATGTTGAATCGCACGTTTGCGGCTGGCTCCACGAATACGTGACATCACGTGCACCGTTCTTGCACGCAGTATGCATCTCATCTACATCCTCCATCGCGCACGCACGCTGCTCAACACAAGACGAAATACCTATCGATCCCTTCGGTGCGTACGAATTATGTGGGCACGGGTAACACGTGAAATCCAACTCACTATCGGACTTAGCATCTGCATACTCATTAGGACCACAAAATGCACACAGAGAACCACCACGATTGGTCATATCTCCCCCGCAGGTATGACAGTGCAGATCAGACCAGGCCGTGCCCACTAGTTCAATCACTTTAATGTACGCCCTGTCCGCCCCAGCATCTCCAGCATAGTCCTTCACATAGTTCCATGCTAACGTGTGTGCGCCAGCAGGAATCTGCACAACGGCTTCTTCCCATCCATTCGATTGTGAAATCAACCCAGCACCTTGATCGTCGTCTATCTGGAACATCAAACCATCGTAGGGCATCTCCGCTTCCACGCGGTATTTGTACGTCACTGAACCGTTTCGTACAAAAGTTGCACTGACTCGCAGCGTTGAGTAGAGTCTCAAGCCTTCAAACATTTCCATCACTCCAGAATTTTCACCCGATGAGATATAGGAACCATCAGCCGAAGGTTCCCATGGATTGCAATTGTGTTGCCAATGACCCGTGTACATGTTTTGAGTGATACAATCCGTCTGTACGTCGGCAGACAGTGGAGCACTCCACTCATTTGTCCGTTGGGAAAACAATTGACCACCACCCAATGAATATTTGCCTTGTGGACATCGTTGACATCCTGATACAGGTACAGTATCAGAAAAGCTATAACACACAAGAAACATAAAGGTTATTAGCCAATCATATTGACCCAAAAGGTACAAAACTATTGAATGATGACGTACTTGGCTCCAAGATAATAACCACGACCACATTTGACATCACACCGTAGACCATGAACAGGAGCTTTTATATGCAACACATTATCATACTAGCTTAATGTACTGTTACATAAACCAATATGAAATGAGGGGAGTGTTGCTTTACTTACGTTTTGCTAGTACTTCGTCTGTTGTATTGGCTGAACATGTTTCCTCGCTTTTCAAGTAGTAGAAAAGGGTACGTTCATTATCAACACAATCACTAAAACCGTAATGAAATTTGGGTCCGGCTGCTACAGTCCCAGAGACCACATAAACTGCGGCTACCAACCACGTCACCGCCCGCATTTGTTTTAAAATGTCAACACGACAAGTGTCGAAGTGTCCACACTTTGTACACAATGTACATTATTGAATGAGGTATTCTTAAGTACGAAATGAACACTTAACTAAGAATGCTTCTGGTATAAATACACACATTTAGTATTGTATATTTATTTAGGATGTATTAAAGCACCCCCGTGTGTATTTGTAAGGTATGACGGGATACTTAATCAGAGACCATTGCGGAAGCGCTTTCTGTAATAACCTCCATGGCCATGGCTTACGTATATTCTAACTTTTTATTCCATTGTAGTGGCAGTTCTCAGCGTTGGTTTTCATTGCGACATTGTTGCCAACAACGGCAAATAATGTCGTAATGCAACTACAATTCGTAAAGCCATATTAAAGTGGCCATGGACCTGCAAGAGTGACTGCTCGTATTGATACGACGATGATACCATCTACAATAATGGAGTTAGTGCTGTCATATGCAGTCAAGAATATATCGGAGGCCAAGAAGCTGCTTATGAAGTGCAAAGGCTGGAGACGACTGCAATATCCGACAAGACGTCCGCTGGCTACAATACCAGAGTGGCGGCTTGTATGTTAGAATTGGCGCGATATACTGGGTGAAATGATGACGCAGTACTAGCAACGCCTCATGAAACTAAACCTTTCGCACAAATTGGTAGAGCAGCAGACGATGATGCTTAAAAGCGTCTGTGGCAGGATTAAGAGCGATCAAGCGACGATTTGCATTGTTTGGACACACTAGAAGACGGATTGGTGCAGAGATCACGCAGATGATAGACTGGTAAGCTTTGCTGCTGTGTTCAAGATGACGTATCTCATTCGACAAGATTATACTAACATACTTGATGCATTGTCACATTATTGCTGTCGATGAAAGTGGTGAGTATAATGCTATGACTGAGATGAAAGAGGGCGCGCCGAGGATGTTAATATTGCTTCCATCGCAACGATGTTGATGATGTAGCTCTATTCAAGTATCTTGCCGCATTGGAACGGTGTTTAGTCCGAGACCATTGCGGAGGCTTCTGCCAAATGATTATCTCACACATTCCATTGCTATCAAAGCCGTTTTTGACTGCCGTGACTCAATTGTGCTCGAACGTGGACATCTTGGACGGCTAGAATTTCATGATGGATGGAAGCCTGTGCTTTATGATATAGAGTTGCAAGGGACTAGTAGAAATTACAGTCAGTGTTCGGAGTTGCATAAATTCCATTGGGCTGTTGTGACTTCTTACTGATGCTTTCTGTGAAGTTGATGTAGCCATATTGATCCGGTTCTCAATTTTCATTAAATCAAGTGTTTGTCATGAAATATTTCGATTAAAAGTTAAAATAGTTGTCAATGGAGTCAATCCCGTTAGCTCTTCAGCGTGTGATTTGTTCCTTTGCAGCGGCGCCAGAGCTTATTCCTCATGATATGGATTCAATGGATGATTTTCATTCCATTGTAAACTTTGCCACCCAATTCACCGAACCTTCTACTTACAATATGCAGCGTCTGGCGCATGTTTGTCACGCGTGGCGTGAAATTATCGAGGAATTTTGCATGGAATATGAAACTTTTAGTGTTTTAACACTAACTTTCACAATAGGATTCAAACAAGAAGAAGAAAAGCAGATAATACAACAATTATTACGTGGTCACAAAGGTGATAGAATACTGGACTTGAGGATTGTCATCAGTGCAGAAAAAGAATTCTTTTCGTGGAATCACGATGTCCAAAATCAGACCCCATCTGAGTTTTTACAATGGATCGAGTGGAAAAAGATACTTGAATCATGTCCAAATGTACGTCGGTTGGACTTGACGGGAGTACCACTTCATCATTTGACAATGGGGGATCTATTGGATGCAGCTTCGACACATTGTAAACACTTGGAAGCATTGATTTTACCTGTAAAAGATGTACGATATGCAGATGCAATAGCAGACAATATGGATTTTGTGTTTTGGAAATTGTTCTCGGCGTTGAAAAAGTGGAAAGAAGGTTCAGGAGGAAAAGGTCTGAGACAGCTGACAGTGCCTTCACGAAGTGAATTTGACCGAGAAGGAACATCCAATGAATTTTTATCAAAAGTGTTGACGTTATGTCCACAATTGGAGTATTTGGATGGATGGAAACGATCGTATCATGAAGGAACGGAATTCGTGGCGTCTGATGAAAGTTTGTGTGTGTCACGAGATGTTTGGAAGACTTTCTGCAAGTCATGTGTTGCATTGCGAGAGTTTAGCTGGGTTGTGGTACCGTTCTCTGATGAGTTCTTTCTGCCGTTTGGACTAACGACAAAGCCAAATCTCACACACTTACAGCTAACATACAATACACGAGCGCCGTTCCGTATTCGCCGAAACGAATACTCGACGGGTGGCTTGAACGTTCTTTTGTCGGGCTGCCCAGCATTGAAACATTTAGACATTGTTCTTCATCGACTGCAACCGTGTGATGCTTTCATCTACCCGCAAATTGACGAGATGATTGACCCAGACGTGTTCAACGATGATTTCTTCTTGGCGTTGACGGATAATTGTCCGCAACTTCGTTTATTACGCATTCGAGAGCTGGGGTCCATGTCAAACAGTCGCAAAAGCTGTACGGGGGCAGTCAACACGATTACAGACCGAGGCCTGGCAGCATTGTGGCGTGCTCCAAATCTCACGTATATCGATATCCATGACGTTAAATGCTCTGCTAATGCCATCTTAGATTTTCTACACGCTGATAGGGGTTCTTACCAAGCCATAGCAACTCGCCGTATACGATTTCGAGAGCTTGGTGCGTGTTTTGGAGAGGTGATACAGCGCGTGCTCGATGATCTTGTAAGGGTTCCAACTCAAAAAGTAGGCAGGAGACTGACAAAAGCGCAACTCGTGATCTCAGTTTCCAGTCGGCGGGGGTATGTATTCGAGCGATCTTGGCTCGTCAAGATGCAGCAGGCTTTTGAGACTCGGTTCGCGAAAGGAGAGCTTTGTTTTGCAGTCTTTAGCCTCAAGAAGAACAAAGACACTGTTCATCGCTCTAGTAGCTGCCGAAGTGCTCAGCAACAAGTCATTGCAAAGATTCTAGCTCGAGCTTGGATCAAAGACGACGTGTTGCGCGTGGGACGCCTCGTTTTCTATACAGACAAAGCTGTGCTAGACAAGCGTTTACAAACCGTTTTGCGCAAATCAGGCCGTAGAAGCTCATGGATCATAACCGACTAATAAAACGAGTTGTGTGCCATTGTGTCGTCAATAGAAGTCGTGCTTGTTTAGTCGTTCTTTTCGTTTCTGCCGACGTTTCAGACGTGCACTCACTTTCTTGTGCACATCGACAACCTGATGGTCTTTGCGTGTACCCATTTTGGTCGCAACGTTTACAATGCCTCCATGTTTCTTACGAATTGCCATGACTAAAGCTCCATACCCCAGCTCTTTAAGTAGTTTCGTGTCTGGGATTTCTCCTTTCAGTCCATTTTCTCTTGAAATGTTACGAAGTTCCTGCATGAAGTCGACGTTAGAATCGCAATTGAATATGGAAGACCATGGATCTTTTTTTACCTTGACAACGTTATTGAAATCGCTCCAATCTTCAAAGTTACTTTTGCTAACTACATTACGAACAATTGGAAGATTCGAAAAGGTGCTTACATTGAATTTTACATTTACAGACACAATTCGAAGCTCTTGGAGGTATCGGGCCAGCATCTGATGGCTACAATTTTGTTGGTTTTAGACTGATGAGAGACTTTACATGAAAGTTACACAAATTTATGTCATTAAACCTGCGACGTGTGAGTATGTAGCCATTTGGATTTGTCCTTGGATCGAAGCTTCAATGCAATTCTTGAAAATGGTTGGCAAGGTGGTTGCACATGTAAAAGGAAACAGAGTTGTATGTGTGCAAAGAAGCGATCAACGATATACAAGCTGTGTAGATGGAGACATGATAGTACAAAGAAAACGTCGGCGATCTCTAAACTTGGATTGAAAAAGATGCACATTAAAGGATAAAGCACTGCAATTTCAAATGATCCATACGATACATAATGATTTCGAGATGCTTAAAAGCTTGACAAACATGGTTTTTTTCCTATCTGCAACATTCTTTACTTGTTCATCCTCATTCTTACGTCCTGAACGCTAGCGTCTGCAATTTTTTTACGCTACAAGGAGGTTTACCTCGAGCCTCTTTTAGCTCATACCGTTAAGTACCTCTCTTTACATCTCAATTTGCAACCTTTCACGCTCATGGCTACATTCGTTTTACTGATGTAGCCATTAATAAACCTTCTAAAAAAGGGTACATTCTAAGATATACCCAATCATATCGTATCTCTTCTATTGGCAGCCATTATGAAGAAGTTTCTAAATCGGGTCTCAAAGGGCGACTCTTTTGTCTCATCACCTTCATCTAATGCTTCACTTTCATTGATTGCATCGGAATATACAATGAATTTTCTATCTGAATCACAAAAACGTGGCGTGGCGGGACTCTGTGCGTGTCTTTTACCTGCTGTGACCGATGGTTCGACGGACTTAATTTGGTCCAAAGCATATCTTCAGCTTATTATTGAGCACTTTATTGGACTCAATAGTACCCAAACCGAAGCATATGTACCCATTTTAACCTCACGACTTGTTCAATTGGCTGAAATGGCACACGATCCTTCAACCGTGACAGTAGACGAACTGGACCCATCTCCTTTCTTGGCTCTAATAATACCTGAACGAAACGTCACAAAAGACTTTGAACGCTGGACAAAAAAACTTCCAAACCGACACAATAAATGGAGCAATAATTCCAGGACAGAAAATGATGCAGTCGAGATGTTAACGACGGAGAACTTTCGTCTTGAAGTGATCAAGCGACTTTTGTGGTTTACAGTCAAAAGTGTCGGTTATGATGCCAGATCAAGAACATTATTCAGAAGATTAGTACTGGCGATGCAGTTGCAGTGGACAGATGTGACCAAAGAAGAAATTACGATTGGCCAAGTACTATTTGCAGAAGCTACAGCCATGCCACTTGATAAAGTAGCAGCTAAGCCCAAGATTTGGGACTGGAAACGCAATGCAGCTATTGGTGCAGCAGCAATGACAGGAGGTGCATTACTTGCTGTGACGGGAGGACTAGCTGCTCCTGCTATTGCAGCCAGTTTGACGGCACTGGGAGGAGCAGGAGTGACAATTGGAGCAGCGGTGGGCTCGGCAGCAGGTGTTACGGCCACTACGGTGCTTTTTGGGACAGCTGGAGCTGGAGTTATGGGCATGAAGGTAGATACGAGAACAAGAGGTGTTCATGATTTTAGTTTTGATCTCGTGTCGGCAGGAGACGGCATGAATGTCTACATTTGTGTGTCTGGATGGCTAGATGACGATGACCCGCCTACGAGCGGATTTCGACGAGCTTGGGGAGATAGTCGGGAGTACTTGCGGGCATTCTACAGACAGAAAAACGTAGAGAAAGTGGACCAGGTGGACCAGGTTATGGACCGCTATAAAGGTCGAGAAGACGAGTTCTTTGCTATCTTGCGTCGCACGTACAATATTGACGTCGGTGATATAGAGAATGACCCATTAGGAATTGCAGATCTATCGAAGATGGCAATGGCAGATGAAGGTACGCGCTACAGTGACTTTACGAGTTTGAACAGCGACTCGGATGCCATTTCGAGTAGCACGGCAAGTACGACGGCAAATAATAGTAGCTCTTCCGTGTGGGAGCTAGGAACAAAGCATGAACCGTTGCGCGCATGGCGCTGGAAGGACCGCTTCCCTCAAGGTGATCAGTACTGTCTTGTTTGGGAAGAAGCAGGATTACGACGGTTTGGTAAATCGATGCGCACGTTTGCGGCTGAGCAAGTTTCATCGTATGCGACGACAGAAATTGTCAAGTACACTGCGCTGGCGGCGCTATTTGCTGCAATAGCAATTCCGCGAACAATTCTCCGATTGGCCGACATCATTGACAATGCTTGGACAGTTACTATGAACGCTGCGGATATTTCTGGCAAATTATTGGCAGATGCACTGCGTAAGCGCGAGCAAGGTTTGCGTCCTGTTACACTGGTTGGATATGGCATGGGTGCTAGGCTGATTTTCTCCTGCTTGAAAGAATTGTCCAAAAGTGATTTGATTAATGAGTCATGCGGAATTGTAGAGAACGCTGTTCTGCTCGGATCTCCTGTCCCTATGGAGCGTGACGACTGGACAAACGCTCGTCGTGTCGTTTCTGGAAGGCTAATCAACGGGTACTCTGAAAATGATTGGATGCTGGGTGTCATGTACCGTTACCATGGCTGGACATTAAACTCAGCTGGCGTTGCACCTCTCGATATTGTTGGTGTCGAGAACGTGAACCTGTCAGAAATCATTGGAGGGCATCTGGAGTACAAAAGCAAAATTGGTGCCATCATGGATCTGCTACAATTGGATTTCTAGCTAATTGGCAAGTAAAGTCAACTGCTGCACTGCTATGTAGGCCATATCGATTGCGTTTGGGATTGCAATCTTTCCCAAGGACGTATTCCTGAATCCGTTGCACACGATTAAATACGCTAACTAGCGAGTTCAATTTTTTATCTATCGACTGAACGCTACGGGTATCACTCTGTTTTTTATGGACTTTTGGACGCTCATTGTCGTCAAGAGTTGCTCCGAGTCTTGGCCTTGCATTTTTTGCAACAATCACTTCTCGCTACATATGGACTGCTATGAAGCACTTTTGTGCTGTTAGAGCAAGAGTATCGAGCGAATGACGAGGACATCACGCGGGCCGAATGCAATGTTTTAATTTCATTCAGTCTTTTTCAGTCATGATGTTTCGGTCGCCACCTCCATAGCAATGTACATCACGTCTTGCAAACCGATCGTGGATTTCTCTCCGTCCGTTGAATTGTGAAGTTTAGTTTTTGTGGGTGTATCTATGATCGAGATATGTTGAAGTGCTGGCATAAGAAGAGACTTGAATTGATCTGCTAGCGTCCACAATGGAAAGGCTCACACAAAAGCAAACAACATCGATCTGGCATTCATTGAAGCCTTAAACTTCCATGTATGATTATCAACAAGTATCACATTGGTCTTCTACTTCCGTAGCAAAATCAGATCCAGGCTTCGATTAAATGTCATCCATTTACCGTCGTGAAATACCAATACAATTCGAGTTACGCGGATACGCATCAAGCACTTGTCATTTGTGGTAATACAGGTCCAAGCAAGACTCTTTTGATAAGTCATGTTGACCAGCGCCACGGTTGTGGCGATTGAGAAGAAGTAATGCAAGTATGGAAATACTGTGAGTTTTTTTTATTGCTTGGCGAGATGATTTGGCTGCAACCTACGACGTAATCAGGGTGATCAATTGCCCATGAATGGAAGTGCTATTGCTGATTGAGACGAAGCAAAAGACGTCGGTACATGTGTGGGACTGTTTTCAATATGTTTACTTTGCTTCCGTTACTGTCGCTGAGCTGGCTGTCAAGCGGACTCGTAACGAGAATAAGTGCTTGCCACTTCAACAAGATACAATCCGAGCGTGACCAGATGCCATTGTCAATCTGTCTGCAAATGACGGCGACAACGAAGTATCGATCAACCTCGTACTTTCTCGCTGAGTGCAAAAGCAATACAGACGGCAGAATGAGGCAAATGATGTCGCTTCGAACACAGTTTGGTTGTCATTGCATGCCTCAATCATATATGAGTATTTGTCGCTATTGACTTGATTCTAACTTGGTGTATCTAGTGCCAATGCCGACAAAGGACAGGTAAAGCACAATGCTATTCACATCTCTCGAGCTCCATGCAGTCACTGTGTTCAACAAGTCGTGCTAGGTGTGCTAACTCGCACGAAAGTGTTCCCATGAAAAGAAGCTGGCATACAATCGTAAAAGCTTCGAAGAAAGCTTCTTGAACCGCAGTAAAACCCAAAGGGTTCGGCCACACGTCGTTCGCGCACAGGAAAAACACACCAACTACATGTCAAGGTAAAATACACACACAACCACAGCCACTGAGAAATTACACATCAAGACTTATCCGACACAGCTCTTATGAACCTACATAAAAATGTAGATACCAGTCCAGCATGGACCAGGAAACGACCAAGTGTGTAGGCTGTAAAACAATCCAATCGTCTCCAGCGACGTAGAGCTAACCAAAAGGATCGACGACGCAATATGATCCAAAGACTCTCACTTGTCGACACTTTCCCAGCAATAGTTTTGCTTCCATCTGCAGGTACAGACGTTTTTTCTTGCAGTATGCACAGCAAGTATCATCATCCATGCTGTAATGAAGAAAACAATGGTACAGCTGACATGGGCATCATGATATGTACGCATATCCAGGACAGCCAAGCCAATGAGTGAAATGGCGGAAATCGTTCCAAACACGACACATCCGTACCCCATGACCACTTGATTAGTACTAATGTCTTTAAATGGTGCTTTCTGGTTTCGTAGGAGACGTAAATACCAAAAGAAGAGCATATCGGATCCACAGATAAAGATGGCAGTCAAACACATTCCTCCCATAAAGACGTAACCTTCTGGTTGAAATGTTGCAGCATATGATAACGTTGGATAATTGTCGGCACAGTTGAAATGGTTCATGCAGGCCATAACTTCAGTACTGAGCATCGTAAAAATGCCCGAAAATGGCACGAGCCATGCAATCAAGTCCACGTTGTCAGTCCAAACCATGCGTTTTCTATATACTTGTCACTTACAAGTCACGAATCCGTGTCCAGTTGAAAGAATTTGCAGGAAATGTCCCTAAGGATAGGCACACCCTGTTGTCATGACGTGGAGATGGCTACATTATTTGCTTATACGAGAATGCTGGAGTGTTACCATGCATGTGAATATGACAATGACAAAATATTGCTATGGATGTTCATGGTCAAACATAGAGATGACAACATGCTGTTTGCAAGCGTCTGTGCAGACACTTTCGTCGAGTGATGCATGCAATTTTGCATTCTCAGCAGTGGTATTCTACGATTCAACTGTCGATGACTTCGTGTCGCCCTTGTTTAGACCAAGAAGTTACAGCGAGTCGTCGATCTACGCCTGGAATGCCGCTATTGTATCGTTAAAGTCGATTTCAGCATTCTAATGGTCGTCAATCAACTCGTAGCTCTACAACCACTTGTGTACATTGTTTTCTACTCGCTACTCAATCGTTGTTCCAGCGCGCTTTGCATTGCGCTCGAACCTCATGAACCTTCGCTTTGGTAGGATCAAAGCACGTCTTGGTATCTTTCACGAATAGCTTCTTCTTGTCTTCCGCTACAATTGCCTAAAATTGTTCTTCGATCTCATGTTGACAAGCAGCAAACTCTTCTCTAACTGCTGAATCGTTTCAACTTTCTCGATACACGTGTTGTAAGCGTGCTTTATATTTACCTAAAGTTTAACGACTTTCTTTCCAGCTAAGTGTGGCACTTGTCAGCTTGCTCTTTACATTCTTTATAATGCTTGACTTTATACAAGAGCTAAGTAGGTATCATTCCATGTGACTTGCAAGCAAATTTCAGCTCAGCCGCTGCATTCTTTTCGTATTTCTCTTCAGTGCAGCAGTATTTTGCTGCAGCAACACGTTCGATAGAATCCATAACACTTTAAGTAGAAGAAGCCAGCATCTGGTTCCTGTTGTTCATCGTTTCAATTATGTCGAATAGAGAATGCACGACCAGCGATTGCAGCACCTGGGGACTATGCATTTTGCAACAAATGGCTCAACGCTTCAAGCAAGAAGGCCTCTGCACAGGGTGCTTGGACATCAGTAGTCTAGTGCATTAAATGTGACCTCTATTACGAGGGTGTAGACGACAATAACCTTTGCACGTCGATATACCTGTATAAATTAGTATTTAGTGAGCGCCTAGCGAGTGTTTTTATCAGTTTATTAAGTCTCTAATGGCTTTACTGGCACAAAAAACATCGACGTTTATTTGGTTTAACCTTTTTATAAGAAATACCAGCATTTTGATAGTCGTATACTAGGAAAAATTTATACGATGAACAAAAAGTGTAGCCATGTTAATAAGAGATGTGTGTTAATTTAAATATGGTTTGACAAAACATCATTTGAGAGACGGAACCATCTCTCTCTATCTAGTTTATATCCTCTAAAAGTATCCACTAGTAAAGTCAAAAATCAGGCCGCCGAGATGATTGACTGATAGACAATCATGGACCGTCAACGAAATCTGTGGCTGTGACTTCATTATTGCTGACACAATCAATCATACGATCGAGAACTATTGACGTCATGTGAAGCTGTAAGTAGTGATAGCGCCACACTGTTACATAGTGACGATACGACGAAAGAAAAGGTAAAAAAAATGCGGAACGTTTCGAGAACCTCGTTTCGCTCAATCATCTATTCTGCTCGCAAGGTACTCTGCTCAAAATGGCCCGTTTGCAAACACTCACCCTTCGTTTCGTACTGACTGATGTAAACGCCGCAGGTCAGATTTGAAGATAAAGTGGACCCTTCTCTATGGGACGTGATTCCATAGAGACATGTGGCATGTTCATGGGAGAATTGAGCTCATTTCTCAGGCAGCAGAAATGGCACTTGAATTTTCATTTCGATTGGTAATGTTTTTCGTTTGTAAGTCATCGCTAAGCACATGAACTCGTATGGAGTGTTGCTGGTCTGTGACAGATGCATGTGTATGTCAGCATCATCCCTGTCCTTTATATGGTTGAATCGTGATAGACGTCAATCTGCAATAATCCAGTAGCACATGTCTAAATTATATATATTCTGAGGACACTCAGTTTTATACATTTATAGAGTTTATTGTACAAGACATGTATATATATTAGCTAGTCGCTTCTCAAATCCAAGCCATCCAATTGAATTGTGGAGGTTATTATTATACAGAGAATTATTTCAGACAGGTTCTACTGTAACTGAAAAATAACAGAAAGAAACGTGCATCCAGGCAAAACACCTCGCGGAAGCAAAGGCTCAATGCAACGCTTTCGAAAATGAGTGCGGCACAGGTACAGCGAGTGCCGGAATCTAGATTTGTTGCTAAAATGACATCTGTGATATGCCGACATTCCTTCTGAGAAGAAACAGCTTTTATATATACCTGCAACAGAATGTAATATAGGGTTTAGGTAACTACGATGATTATCCTAGAAAAATAGGTACATTCAATCACTATAGGGTACTGTAGTCCCTATCCGTCTTGGAGAAATTTAGCTAGCTGTATCCACTCATTCATTATACGACGTTAATTAAATCTGACAGGTTAGATTTGATTAATGTCGACCAATCGCATCCAAGCGTCACCCACCTTGCAAAATAAACGCAGACTATGCGTTTTTTTTAAGATTGAGCTCATTCTTCATTTTGATCTCAAGTTCTCTCATCACAGCCGGTTATTTTCTCAAAAACTTGAAGCCACAAGAGCTGAGGAGAGGCACGATCACCTTGTGCATCTCTCTACAAAAACGTTGTGGACGCTCATCCAGGTACACAAGAAGTTTTATTCCAAGTCGTCACACACCTCCATGCGCTTCATCCGAGAAGCTCAAGGTCTTGAGCGCCATGAGTCGTGTCGCTCGCATCTGAAGAAATGGATAGACATGAGTCGTAGCCGTGATGCAGAGAACAAATGTCTTGAGGAAAAGCATAGTGAGGTTCGCCATGCTCTATTCCTCGCTGTAATTCGTCGCACCAGTTCTGTATCATCTCTTGCCCCTAGTATGAAGAAAGCCCAGTCACCACTCGCAGTCAAATGGAGCTCGTACATTGAAGCTATTGGCCTTAAAGACACTAGCAGTAAACAGCGCCGCGTCCGGTTTGTGGAAAACGACGTTGAGTACGATGAACTTCATGGATGCACGGAACAGGAGGAACCTATGGACCACACTTTGGCTGAAGAATTGGTTGAAAAGGAGGTTTTTTCGACACAGTTTGTGCCTCGTGGGTCCCGCTTTGCGGATCAACCAGAGGACACTATTTTGGAACAGGGCTTCCTGACGATGCCTGTAAATGCGCCTTTTTTCCAGAATAGACGGTACTATTGTCTACTTCGAGGCCACAACCTGCAAATGTTCACTTCCGCAGCGCATGCTGCCAAGAATTCAGGATTAAAGGAACAGCTTACGATCCTTAGGGTGCAAGACTGCGAGACTCTGCCCACGCAGAAGCAATTTGCGTTGTTTGGCGCCTCGCTACCGGTGCAAATCAGCCTCATGTTCTACGTGATCAAGACCAATGGCGAACGCGTGATTTTTACAGCTGACACCAAGAGTTCGAAGCGCAATTGGGTGCACTCACTCACTCGCGTCACGTACGTGGGTGAGGGTAAGTGTTACACAAGCACACCTTTAGTTCGGAGTTGGTGTAGCTCTACCCCGACACCATCTATATGCACGCTGCCACCAGTACCAGAAGTTGAACCGGAAGAGGAAATGCAAGACGATGTTTCCGCATTTAAATTTCTTGAGTCGGACAGGAGGAATACCTGCACTACCGTCTGCTGATGAAATAGTTTTGCAGCAACCTTTTGCAGGTATAAACGATTATCATCTAAGGTGAGATTTCCACTATCTCATAATCTAATAACGAATGCTTGATTAGTTTTACAGTAGTTATCAGCGGTACCATGCTAATGAAATGTCTAATATCTATCTATATATCGTCGGCATCACCAAAATACCACAACGTGTGAGAAATAAAAATAAAATTGTGGTGGTTGATGGTTACCAAAAAGGTGGTTGATAAATAACGCCTCCCTTTTTACAAACAATTGTAAACTTTGTAAGTTTATATTTAAACATTTTAGTTCATCTTCTAGCAACAAATTTCAAAAACATTAATTTATACAGTACAACCAAACACGGCTGGAGGAACGTGATAGCCACTTTGTGTCTTAAGCCGCGTTCCAGCGTCTTGATCTACGCGTTAAGACTGTACAGACATGCACAGACGTCGTCGCAGCAACAAGAATATACAGACCACACGTTTTAGTCTGTTGCTACTCGAGGATGGCGAATATTTTTTGGACGTACAGTCATGCCTCTATGAATTAATAATTAATTATGAGATCACGAGTTGAAGTTGAAGTTGTGACGTTGCTGTTATTTTGTATACAGGACCATAATGCGTGTCGCCATTTAGAGCCAAATGCTCAAAGCCACAAGAAAATATTCGGTCGACTCAAGGTCTGCACACGAGGATTCTTTTTTGTGCCTCAAGACTTGCAACGTCCGATTTTACGCTTTCCATTTCGTTCGTTCATTGCTGAGCCTGTGGCTGAATGTTTTGTACAATGGCCAATAATTAATTTCGAGAGGATATCCGATTATACAATTGAAAAGGTTCCAGTTGTGTACTTGACATTCCAGACGCAGCAAGTGATTGAACTGCAAGCACGAGGGATTGATCATCCGTATATCTACAAGGATACAAGTATTACAAAAGAAATGGAGGTTATTGACACTGGAAACAAGCAGAAGAGCAGTTTAAGGGGAGAAACACCGGCCAAGTACATTTTTACGCTTCAACATGTGACGCTTGACGCGTTTCTCGCAAGTATTCACGTCATTTATGACGTATCCAAGTTACCTCGCCGATTGCGTACTAAAGCAGAAGAAGAAGCTTTGTTGGCTCCAGTATTGGCCCCAAGACTGACGGATAAGTTTGACTTAAGCTTACTTATTGATTTTCGAGAAAGAATACTCATGAAAAGAGGCTGTGTTGCAAACCGCATCGAGCCATTGCTCAAGTTTCCAGGGTGTCTAATGCTCACGACTCGGAGACTATACTTTCAACCGGCACCGCTTAATAACGTGCTTGACCCTGTGCTAAACTGGGACTATACTGACGTGGACCAGGTCTACAAACGACGATATTTACTCCAACAGATTGGGTTGGAGATATACTTGAGCAATGGTGACAGCTTTTTCTTTTCTTTCCGATCCCAGACAGAGCGTGATGATTTTTACGCGCTTTTGATGGGCCAACCAGAGCTGCAGCGTTGTCGCCGTAAGGATTTACAGTTCATGATGCAGAAGTGGCAGCAACGTGAACTATCTAATTTTGATTATTTGAAATTCCTCAACAACGCCTCAGGCCGGACGTGCAATGACTTGACACAGTACCCAGTGTTTCCGTGGATATTGTGTGATTACACGAGCCCAGATCTCCATCTTGATAACCCGAAAGTATATAGAGACCTTACCAAGCCAATCGGTGCGCTCAACGAGGAGCGTCTTGAGTATTTTAAGGGAAGATACGAAGCCATGCCTCGTGGCGACGAAGCGGAGGGAACGCCGCCTCCATTTTTATATGGCACGCACTATTCAACTCCGGGTTACGTGCTTTATTTCCTTGTACGCAAGGCTCCTCAATGCATGTTATGCTTACAGGGTGGAAAGTTTGACGCGCCGGATCGCCTGTTCCACAGCATCAAAGTTACGTGGGACGGTTGTATGTCGAATTATACCGATGTAAAAGAACTTATTCCTGAGTTCTTCGACTGCACAGTTCCAGCAAGCGAGTGGCTGCAAAATAATAAGCATCTTGATTTGGGAACGATGCAAAATTTTGAGCGTGTTGACGATGTCGTGCTTCCGCCGTGGGCACATGGCGACGCAAAAGTATTTGTACAGAAGAATCGCGCTGCGCTCGAGAGTGACTACGTGTCAGATAGCTTACACCATTGGATTGACTTAATTTTCGGCTACAAGCAACGAGGAGAGGAAGCCGTCGAGGCTAATAATTGTACGACCTTGTCCTTGCTTCGAAATGCGCCGTAGCAGTACTAACCAATGCGCTTATCTTGACTTGTTGCTAATAGTATTTTATTATTTATCATACGAAGGATCGGTGGATTTACAAGCTATCGATGACCCCATGCAAAGGAGCTCACTGGAAGCGCAGATTCAGGAGTTCGGACAGACGCCAAAGTTGTTGTTCTCTACGCCGCATCCGCATCGAAATGAGGGCGATGGGAAGGTTAAAGTGGCTACTCCGGACTTACTCGTGTCACCACGAGACGTGGCTCCTCGAATTCGCAGAGTCTCATTTCCATTGCCTGCTTCCCGTCTTCGACATCAAAAAGTGGCTGCACTAAGCTCATTCAAAGAATACGCAGACTCTGAAGGTAAGGACTGTAATCACCGTCCACATCCTTACGGTTGTAGTCTTATCTGTGTTCAGATCCCTTGGAAACTTCTTCGAAATACTCTTTTCGGCCAACTTTGGGGAAGTGTAAGATCAGGCAAACCACCTAAGAAGTGGAGATGGAGATCAAGGCTAAAAACCAAGTACAGCCTATCAACTTCGTGGAGCTGGAAGCAGATTTCGGCTAGCCAGTTGCACAAAGGAGAAGTCACTAGTACCATTCTTTCCAAGGATGCCTCTTTTTTATTGACTACTAGCAAGGACAGCTCGCTGAAGTTATCCTCAACCGAGGATGTGACCCAATCTCGTGATGTGTCAGGCGAGTTCGCACTGTCATGCTGTGATTTATCGCCAGATGAAAGTGTTGTGTTCGTTGGGTCATGGGATAATTGTGTGTACATGCACTCGGCAACAACTGGGCTGGTGCTGGACAAGGTATTTGCACACTCGGATGGAATCTCTGCCATTCGTGTTTTCCAGAACCGCTTCTTCACGAGTTCCTGGGATTCAACAGTCAAACTCTGGCAGTATACGTCAAGGCGCATCATATCTACACCCTTACGGACTTTTTTAGACTGCGAAGAGTCTGTCTTGTGTTTGGACGTTAGCCGCGACGGGCTTTTTGGTGCAGCCGGGACTCGAAATGGACTAGTCTATCTGTTCAACCTTAGTGTCGCAATGCTGCACAACCGCGTTCAAGTGGGATCAGAGTCTCGAAATGGGATCGCATCAATTTCGTTTGCTGAAGACAACCAGTCGTACGTCTGTGTGACTGTGCAGAGCGAGTTGTTTCAGTTCAACCTTTACGGTGAAAAGCTTTGGAGCATGGATATCCGAACAGCCGGTCAAGTTCGGTGTTTCGAAAGCGATGGGAACTATGGTGTGGGTAGCACCACTGCCGGTAAAATTCTCTTTTGGAAATTTCACGAAGTAGCAGGCACCGAATTGGTCTACGAGATTCCACAAGCTCATGATGCAAGTATCAGCTCTCTCGAAGTCAGTTGTTGTGGTTCAATTCTCGTTTCCGGTGCTGTCGATGGTTCTGTCCATGTCTGGAAACTTTACAAAAAGCCGTCCTTAAAAATTGACTCCAGCGATATGTTTCACTCTTCATCAAGAAGAAGATCACGAATACTGCAATATGGTTCGATCCAGACATTAACTTCCACTTCCACAGCACCCATTTCCAAGCAGCAACAAAATACTCGACATCATCCTAGCGATATTCCCAATTTCACGACCCAATTCGCCGAAGCAGACTATTTTTTAGAGTGATTCGTACAAAGCGTCCATATTTTTAAATGTCCCATTTTATCCTTTTTTGTAAAATATATTGCACCAATCATATACTTCCTTTCGTCTTTACCAATCAATAAATCCAATATTTCCAACCAATCAACTTTAATTCGTTTAAATTAAGTGGAATTATCCCCCTATTTTAAACATGGAGGAATCCCTCTATGATGAATTTGGAAACTATATCGGTCCCGAGCTACAAAGTAGTGACAATGAATCTTCATCTGCTTCAGATGAAAGTCAAGACAATGATTTATCCGATCAAGAGATAGAAAAAGACAATACAGGACATCAAATGGATGTTTTATCCCTTCAACCCGATGAGGAGGATAATGCAATTATCCTACATGAAGATAAAAATTATTATCCGGATATTAGTGAAGTCTATGGGGATGCTGAGACATTAGTAATGGAAGAAGATGCTCAGCCAATTGAAACGCCTCTAATTGCATCGGTCAAGACCAAAACCTTTTCTGTTTTGGACCAAAAAATCCCTCAAACGACCTATTCGACTCAATTTTTGACCAGTTTAATGGAACATCCCCAACTTATTCGACATATTGCAATAATTGGTGATTTACATCATGGAAAAACATTATTTACGGATTTAATTATCCAACAAACCCATGTGGATAAATGGGATCCAGCATTGGATAAAAGATTTACGGATTCCAGAAAAGATGAACAGGAACGTAAAATAAGCATCAAAAGCAATCCCGTCTCCTTAGTGCTCCCAACTTCAAGAGGCAAACATTATCTACTTAATGTATTGGATTGTCCCGGTCATGTCAATTTCTCCGACGAGACAACAGCAGCTTTACAAATTACAGATGGAGCCGTTTTGGTCGTAGACGCTATTGAAGGCGTGATGATGAATGTAAGATAATTAGTAGGACAAACGAGATGAGTGGAGATGGATAGTTGGACTCATATTGTTATTTTTGGACTCAAATTATTGTTTTTTTGTTATTTTTGTAGACGGAGAGATTGGTGAAAGCAGCACTAAGAGCAAATGTGACAATTGTGTTGGTGGTGAACAAAGTGGACCGGTTGATTATTGAACTCAAACTGCCACCAGCCGACGCGTACTTTAAATTGTTGCACACAATTGAAGAAGTGAATGCAATTATTGACGTGAATACACCGGCAAACCAGGAAAAACAACGGTTGTCACCGGAGTTAGGCAACGTGTGCTTTGCATCGGGTCAACACGGATGGAGTTTCACATTGGAGTCATTTGCTCAGATCTACGCAGAGACGTACCCTGGTGTTCCGTCGTCGACGTTGGCGGCGCAGTTTTGGGGAGACAAGTATTTTAACCCTCAGACAAGGACCTTTATCAAGAAATCAGTGAGTTTGGTGCAATTCTTTTGGAAAGTGAATTCCCGAGTGTGTATGTCTGATTGCTTGTGTGTTATTGTAGCCATACCCTGGTGCATTGAGATCGTTCATCCAGTTCGTCCTTGAGCCACTTTATAAAATGTACTCGAAGGTACTGAATGGCGACCCGAAGGAGCTGTCGACGTCGCTACGGGCTATGGGTCTACGTTTGAGGAAGGAGGAACTGAACCTGAATCCGCGACCATTGCTAAAACTGGTGCTCGGCAAATTTTTTGGCAACGTAACTACTGGCTTTATGGATATGATCGTGAATCACGTTCCTTCACCGCTTGCAACAGCAAAGACTAAACTGCAGAACATTTACACTGGAAACCAGTCTTCCGAAATGAGTGTCGTGCGAGGCATCCAGTCGTGTGACCCAAAAGCGCCATTGATGGTCAACATTGTGAAGCTGTACTCATCTCCTGACGGCACCACATTCAGTGCTTTCGGTCGCGTTTACTCTGGCGAAGTTCGCGAGAACAAGGATGTCAAGGTCTTGGGAGAAGCTTATAGTCCTGAAGATGATGAGGACATGTGCACACGGACTATTGAAGGCGTGTGCATTGCTCAGGGGCGTTACAAGATTCAAGTTGACCGCATTCCGGCAGGCAACTGGGTCTTGCTTGAGGGTGTGGACGCTTCGATTACAAAAAGCGCTACGATCACAGATGCCGATGAGGATCTCCTGCAGGATGAAGAGGTCGGCATTTTCCGACCCATTCACATTTCTTATGGCACCACAGCTGTGATGAAGCTTGCTGTGGAGCCACTGAATCCGGCCGAACTGCCCAAAATGCTTGAGGGATTACGAAAGATCAGCAAGAGTTATCCTCTTGTTCGCACAAAGGTAGAAGAGAGTGGTGAGCACGTGATTCTCTGTACAGGCGAGCTGGCCGCCGACTGCATTCTGCACGATTTGCGGCGAATGTATTCGGAGGTTGAAATCAAGGTTGCAGATCCCGTTGTTGCTTTTTGTGAGACTGTTGCGGAGACGTCCTCTGTGCAGTACGTTCTTGACATGACCCTGTATTTTGCTACCATACGTTACTGACTGGCGCTAATTTTTTATTAAGGTGCTTTGCCGAGACCCCAAACCAGAAAAACAAGATCACCATGATCTCCGAGCCATTGGATGCAGGTCTCGCTCAAGATATTGAATCGGGCGCTATCAAGCTTGACGTACGTCTCATTTGTCCCTCAAAAGTAATCGTGTCATACTGATTGCCAATGCTGTGTATGTTTTGTCGCTAACAGATGAGCAAAAAAGACGTTGCCAGCTTCTTTCAGGCCAACTATAAGTGGGATGCTCTTGCTGCTCGTTCTGTATGGGCATTCGGACCCGAGAGCAACGGACCCAATGTTTTGCTCGACGATACGCTCTCCACGGAGGTAAACAAGACATCTTTAAACATGATCAAGGACAGTATTGTGCAGGGATTCCAGTGGAGTTGTCGGGAAGGTCCACTATGTGACGAGCCAATCCGCAACACTAAATTCAAAATTCTTGACGCCACTATTGCATCGGAACCGATTCACCGTGGTGGTGGTCAAGTAATTCCAACTGCCCGTCGTGTGGCTTACTCGGCGTTTCTCACTGCCACACCTCGGATGCTGGAGCCTATGTACACACTTGAAATCCAATGCCCTGCCGACACGGTGTCCTCCCTGTACCAGGTACTGAGTCGTCGACGTGGTCACATCACACACGATGCTCCCAAGGCTGGTTCTCCACTCTACACAGTACGTGGCTTCGTTCCGGTCATCGAGTCATTTGGATTGGAGACAGACCTGCGCGTGTTCACGCAGGGTCAAGCTTTCATCACACAAGTGTTTGACCACTGGGCGGTGGTTCCAGGTGACCCACTGGATACTAATGTCGTGCTTCGTCCGCTGGAACCCGCTCCGGTGAATGACTTGGCTCGTGAGTTTATGGTGAAGACTCGACGTCGCAAGGGATTGAGTGAGGACGTGAATGTCAGCAAGTACTTTGACGAACCCATGCTACGCGAATTGGCGAGGCACAAGATTGAGCTGCAAAACCTCATCTAGGCGACGTCGCAAGCTTGACATGGAAAACCGGTAGCAGCATTTTACAACGATTATACTCGGACATAAAGCCTGGAAGCGTTTGTTTAGCTTGAAACACGACGTTAATGGCTTTACAAGTTGTGATCATCTTTGATTATGCTGAACCCATTTACTCATTTTGACGCTATTACGAGATAAATCGACATTTACTATACCGGATAAATTCTGGTTTAAGCATGACGGAAGAAGTCTGATGACTTTATAATAAAGTGCCTTATATACCAACTATATGCTACCAGTTATGAACCCTCAATAATTAATAGTCATTTGCTGTCACCGCTACCGATAATATGCATCGGTATACTGGTATTTATGACAAAAGCTTACGAAACAGTTGTTTATGCACTGACCAAAATATTTAGGTAGCTACTGATTTTCAACCAATCATAGACAGGTGGTGTCGTTCAGGGCCATTCGTGTATCCTTGCGTCCGTCATGCACTCTGAGCCGTGGCTCGTGCAGCATCTACCGCAATTGAGACATTACAATGTGCCGCATCATCTTCACCAGGATATTTACCATTGTTTGCATGAAAACGAGGGCAATTGGAGCAATTTTGACGCTGTAGCAACAACACAAAGCGCTTCAGAGTCGTCTCCTCACCGTAAACTGCGCGTGACGGCTACAATGTCACTCCCAGTAGCCTCAAAAGTACTGAAAATACCTCATAAATGGATATTTTCATCGGTAATGCATGCACAGATGCAATTAAGACAAAATCATACTTTATGTAGCAAAATGAAGAAGTTAATTGAAAAAGTCTTTAAAAAAGACAATGAAATGCTAAAGACTCAAGTCGAGAACTACAAAGAGAGAGAAGTAGAGATTATTATACAAAGTTTGCACTTGCTTGCATTCTCCATTCGATTTGGAGCAGATTCAAATGATATGGCGTACTATGTGCTCAATACTCTTGGGTCCAGGTACGTCAAGGTGATAATTTGTAGTGGTGTTTGTCTGCTGTGTGCTAGTTGCTTATTGTTTCGTGATGGATGATTGTGAATAGCCTGCGTGAGGATAACCAGGAGAGTAATATTAACGTGGTGCCGATCTTCTGTATGGAGCAAGAAAAATTGTTTTCGATTGCTTGGACGACAAAGGAGGTTGCAATGGGAGCTGAGCTAGTACGGCCTTGTGCTAGTAAAATCTCTTTGATGGGACTTTGCAAGAAGAGCTATTGGGAAGCACGTTTCGAAACGGAGGAGGAGTTTGATTGGTATTGCGAATACGCGCAAATACGTGAGTTACTTGTGTCGTATATCTCCAAGACGGCACGGATTTTAGTTGCAGGAACTGGTACAAGTCGCTTGCCAGCTGAAATGGCCAAGGATGGGTATTCCAATGTGGTTGCCATGGATTACGCTGCCAACGTGATTACGAAAATGCAGGTCCGCTCAGATAAACATCAATGGGGAGTTCAGTTTGTTACGGCAGACCTGACGCAGATGAAAGGCTGGAAGTCGAGCTCCGTGGACTGCGTTATCGACAAAGGCTGTCTTGATGCCATGCTACTTAAGCCTGAGACAGATGCAGATGAAACAAACTGGAAGCAAGTGACTCCAGATTCTCCAGACGACCTCGGCGATGCGAAAAACAGTATGCACCAGCTTGCTCGTATCTTAAAACCTGACGGCTTGCTGATTTTCTTGACATTTGGTAATCCCAGCAACAGAGTACACATGTTTGACTGGGTGGTACCTGATCAAAACAATCTCATTGAGTGGGAGCTCTTGCAGTGTCTTGAAATGTCTCCAACAAATAATCAGCATACCTTTGTCACGCGCTTCTTTCTGTTTATAGCAAAAAAGAAGCTCAAGTAAACGAACACGTTTGGCAGTCCTCGTCGTATCAATAAACGCATGCAAGACTGAATAAGGTTCCTGGCTGACACATTTTTAGCTTCATTGCAATTCATGACTATCGTCATTCATTTACTCCTCTTCTTCCATAGAAGGCATCCCACTCATTTCTGCGTATTCTCCACCAATTGTTTGCATCATATCCTGCCATAATTCTGCTGGAGCATTGAGCGCAAGGAAAACAGGTGCATTCATCGGTATCCACGAGCCCTGTTTCACTTCCGTATCCAACTGACCAGTTGACCAAGCGGACACGCCACTCATAAACACTACATCTGTGTGTTTCGCATTTCCATCGTCAATCGCCCTTGCAGCTGCATCAAGATCTACACCAACAAAAAGACTTGGATCATTGGCAGAAGGAAAGTTGGTCGTCTGCACACGCTGTCCTCCAAAGTCTGCTCTGCCATGCAGCACCTGCTCATCACGACAGACATCAATCTTCCAATTAAAATAGCAAAGACTTTTCCAATACATTGAAAGCCATCTCACTTCTGCATTTTTTGAAAATACTGGTCCACCTTTGCGTACTGTACTCATTCCAAAAGCTCGCATCACTCTTGACGGGACTTGAAATGTACGTCCCAATGGTTTCTCCGATACTTTATTCACAATAAATCCCTTTGATCCTTCTACTTTATGCTCCGTCACAAGCACAACGGACCGACTGAAAATTCCTTCCAGCAGTGGATGGGCCACTAAAAACACCCCTGATGTCACATTCCTAGCATAAAAGTACAGTCATCACCTTTATTCTCTCCCTCTCATTGGTTCGTCATGTTAAAAAACAGTGTCCTACTCTGCTAATTGCACGCCCTCAATTGTTCTCGTCTCCCAGTCCGTCTTTGGCGGTAGTTCAAGAGCTTTAGACTCGGCGAGCGTGTCATTGAATGCTCGTAGCGCTACAAAAGCCGTATCTAATCGATCTGAGTCCATTGTGTGCTTTGATTTGACATGAAACTCCTCACGAATGAGCTGCAATAGCGTCGGACGTTGTGGATCCGGTAGATAAAAGTGTCGACCACCGAGATATCGCAATAGACAGCGATTAAAAGCTTCAATATGCGGTAGACGTGACCTAGAGTTTGGATCCAATGGAGATTCATATAATTCAGTTGTTATGAGTGCACGCAATGACGCATGACGGTCGAATCTCGTCGCAGCGCCCACTAATTCGCGATACAGTGCCTTCATTAAGCCCATTGGTGCTTAGCACTCAAAGTTGACAGATGAGTTGGTGTGGTCCACCTAATACTACGTACATGACACTATCCTTTTTGTTGGCTGACTCCACGCGATGGACAGGTGGTTGCGTTACTTCACGCATCATAAAATCAATTGATTAAACGTCAAAAAGACAACGCTACCGTATCATCAATCACAAAAACAAACAAAAACGTTCGTTAGATCAAATTAGATAACATCCCGTTTTACATGTAACGCTTAAGTTGAAGTGGTCAACAAGATGAAGTAACTTCTTTCATACCAGATGGAAAGAGAATATTTCGAGCCAATTGATGATGATGATGACCAGGAGACAGGACCATAATCTCATAAGAGACTCAGGCATCACTTTCCAACTCGCTCTCAAGTACTTCATTCCACATCATGCACGAAGAGACATTTCGGGATGAGAATGAAGGGACTGCATTTTATCCATTACATAATCGAGAGGAAGAAACATCCAGAGGGTTTACATCATCATCCTTTTCTGAACATCCAGCAGTAGAGACTGTAACGGACGGTCCATGGACGACATTTCGTGACCACGTTGCACTACAATTCTTTTGGCAAGGTTATGATGCCTATGTAGTGTCAAAGGACAAGGAAAGTGTCGCCCCGTGCTTGTACAATGCTCAATGCATTGGTGAATCTGCCGATCGAGAATTTGTCCAGCTTGTGCCTGTAGACGAAGTGCGAGAACGTCATATTTTGGACAAGATGCGGGTACAATTGGTATCGGTTCATTCGGGCAAATATCTACGAGCATCCCACGTGTCCAAGTATCTGAAATGGTCACGAGCACGGGATGAACAATCGGTATTTTTCATTCAAATTGCTGATCGCAAACCGCTCAATTCACGATCAAAATTTACATTGACGAGTTGTTTCTGGCCTGATCATGCTGTTGGATTTACACAGACATTTCCACTGGGAGGTAGTCGTGCTGTTACTAAAGCTATTGGATTTTTAACCTTGGAGAAGAAGAAGAAGCAAATGCCGCTCTTGTTTCCGATTCGATTCCGAGCAGTCCTTCGCTCTCAACGAAATAATCGAGCGTTAATGACGGCGACGGTCCGTCAACTTACTCCGTTTGTCACGGCTACGGACATGCTTTTTATTGGAGAGGAGGATGCGGAAAGAGTGAGTGAAGTTCCATTGGCCCGTGTGCCATCGCCGCGGAGCATGGATTTGGAAGGAGTAGATTCCCGATTAAGTGGCCGCTTGTCCCTAGGGGCAGACCAGGTGAGGCAGACGTGCACTTTTTGTAGCGTGCTATTCCGAGCACGTGACGATCTCGTCGCTCATATTCGTGATTGCCACGGAGAAATGATGCATCGTGTGTCTATACCCGGCACGTTTTGCATCCACTGCGGCACACGTCGAGTCGATGGACGTTGTACAAGATGTAATCAAGATGCATAAGAAGAAAAGGGGGCGGGGTGTAAGGTTCAAAGAACGGGTAGTATTTAAGCTGGAAAGGTGGATGAGTGTCATGATGGTATGGGATCTATTGATCCTGTTGAATGTATATTTGGATTTAGTGATATAGTGAAAGCGATATGTTTCTTAGAGTTCACTGTGTCAGGACACTATCGAGACGCAATAGCTCTAAATATATGAGAAAGAAGAGGCTACTGAGTCTGTATATTCTGAGTGTTTCTATGAAATAAGCGACATTTTAACAAAATAGTCTTGTTTATTCCTGTTTAGCAATGGCTGCTTCAAGAAAATCAGAGATCAATGAATATCATCGAATTCGAAATGATTGCCCAAATTCAAATCATTTATGATAAACAACCCGTAAGGTTTTATCACCGAAAAATCGATATCGCAATCGTATTCCTCTATAAATTAATATTTAAGGTAGGTATATGTAACACATGTGACGGGCTGTTTTCGAAATCTAATGACCAGCTTGTCAACGGGTACAAACAGCCTGTCAAAACCGAATTTCGAATTCTTAGACCCTAATTTAGAAACAAACCTCTTTTACTAATTTCGGTAACATTCTATACGGTAGTGCTATTTCCAAGGTCCAATTGCTTGGTCACAAAAAACAATTTTTTTTAACGACATTACAAAAGCCACGACCACCAAGAGCAGCCATGGCCGAAAAAAAATACAGTGCAAAAGTATCGGAGGTTCCAATAGTTGGCAAGTCTGGGAAGAAGATTTGCTGTTCATGTCCGACTACGAAACAAGCACGTGATTTATGTGTCGTCAGGAACGGCGAAGAAAATTGCAAGGACATTATTGAGGCACACAAGGCCTGTTTACGCAGTGAAGGCTTTACGATCAAGTAATTTACCGTCGTCTTTTGAGTCCAGAAGAAGAAGAAGAAGAACGTGCAGACGGTCTATTGCACGTATATATGAAGACAAAAGTGAGTGATCACACCGTCAATAATAAAACCGTTAAAACAAGAAAAACACATAGAAAACTTGTCGTCTTTTGTCTTGAGCTGAGCTCGACGTATATTCCTGAGCCGCCAATGTTTATTTACGGTAAAGACCGTCATCTATAGCCATTCCTCTTCAAGTGGAATATAACCTCGGGTGACGTGGAGTACAATGCGATGCCTGTGAAAAGGAATGTCTTTCTGCTTGAAAGACAGCGGCTAGGAAGCAACAAACAGTCACGTACACGGGTAAATTGCGTTTGAAATGACGTAGAGTTGCTGACAAAACATACCAAATTTTGAGACAGGTAGTCTGCGAACAAGCACGAGAAGACGCCGCAGTCAGATCCATTCATCTGCAGAGGCGTGTCGGGTGTGGTAGTCACCAACTCCCACCCTTGGTCATTAAATTTTGTCTTTTTCTTGTGTTCCGACTCATCGTTGAGATACCTAGCGGACACACGTTGTCAGAAAGCCAGTCAACGATTGTGAAATGGTTTGTCGAGGTCCAAGAATCCGGCAGCTTACTTCATCAAAACTTTAATGCACGTGGCACCGCTTCCGTGCATGGAATCGTAATATTGGATGCGCTTTTCCGTCATGAAAATAGCAGCCATGCACCAATGCATCTGCATGAAGTAATAAATTAGTACGTATGTTAGTCAGAGATTCTTCATACTTGTCAACAATTGATAGGAATCCATACGTTGCCGACGTTGACCGGCACAAATATCTTGTCCATGGCAAACAGATCTATCTATAAACAATCGAGACATACAGTCGTTAACTCCATTTGTACCAAAACAACAAGACCAGTTCCTTGCATCTACCTTCCTTGTCCAACGGCGGACGTTAGTAAAATTGTAGCCATTCTCCGACACTTTCGTGTAGAAGAATGAATTGAAAAAGTGGCTCCGCTTTTGCAGGATACCAGCTTTCACTAACGCTTCATCGCGATCGCTCATCATCTGAAAGTAAAAGTTAATCACCTACATAAGATAAAAGAACGCCATAAGAAGTAAGACAACTGACATGACATCCGAGGCAGTAGCGCCACCACAATAATACAAACCTCATCATTGAGCCACACTAGAGGCAACAAACACTGCAAATGACGGCGCGTAATGTCTACGTTGTACTTCTGAACGAGGACCTCCTCCATTGGGCCTTCATGCAGTGCATCTTCAACAATTTCGAGTAGCTCTGGTGGTAACTCCTTGTTGCGATTCTTCTCTTCTTCCTCATCAAAGACATCTGCAGCCAGATCGTATATCTCATCGAGTAAAACTTCCTCCAGAATAGTCTACGCACGCACGTATCATCACAGTCCGAATATTAGCATTGCGACGTCATCCACTATCGCAAAGATAAAATCTTTACAGACATTCGTCTCTCGCTCTGCTAGACGTTTGTAAAATAGTCGATCTGCGTCCAAAGTGCGCGACAAATGTTGAGCTCGAAGTTTTTCTAAAACACCATGCAACCAGGACATGTAACCACCTCAGCCTCCGTAACCACTACAGTTATACACATCAATTCCAATCCCCCCTACCTTCTACTTCAGCAATTTCCTCCTCACGAGACTTTGCCGTCATACTCATTTCAGTCTTTTTGTTGGTATCTGTCGTCACTTTTAGTGCCACATCATTCTTTTCGTCTTTACTTGATTGCATCAGAGCATCTCCCTCCTGTAAAAACAACACAATCACTCTCTTTGTATTCTCTTTCTGCTCTAAATACTATCGTACCTTCATCTCCCACATCTTTTTACTCTCTTCTCTCTGCTTCGCAATTGGGTACTTCTTTGTCATGTTTTTGTCCCTTTCTCGTCTATTAAAACGACACTCTCCTCTCTGTCCCCTCAACTCTTTCTGCAAACTTTTCAAAATACTCTGATTTCTCTTGTTCTCTTCGTACACGTAATTAACTTTTTCAAAAACCACTTTTTGCTTTTTCAACCGTGATGACCCGTATTCCTCGTGATTAAATTCCCATAAACGACGTCGATATTTATCAAAAGCAAATTCTTCAGGGTCAGAGACCTCTCGACGCACTGTAAGGCCCGTGTAAAACGACTCTGAGGCTAAAGGAGGTTTAATTAGATCCACTGGATAGTTTTGCAAGAGATTTCGACTGTATTGAGCCGCGTCCCTAAGGCGTTGGCGATAGCGATGAGCATCCAATGAAACCTGAATATCTTGCTAACATTAACGTTAGCAATTAGCAATGAAATAACTACAGGGAGCTCTATATAGACGTACCATTAGACAGCTAAAGTAGTAAGTAGTCTTGCTATATGCTTCCCCTTTTTGACAATGACAAATATTCGGGTATAAGAACGAATAGAAAATCGACATGTAACCTCATATTTCAGCTGAAAATTATATACTATCATGTTTTATTGTTATATTCGTTACCACAGTTTTCCCAATCAATTCAGTAATGGCTTCGATTCATTGGCTACATGTCCAAGCACTTGATCCGCTGACAGTCGACGATTTGGGTCTTTTTCCAATAACCCACAAATGAGCTCTTTTGTCTTAATTGGAACATTGGTCCATACAGGACTTAAAAAAGACAAGGACTCGGTCTTGACACGTTCTAAAATTTCATCTTCACTTGAGCGGCCCGTGAGGTCAAAAGGATGACGACCTGATATGAGAATGTACAAAATGCATCCAAGTGCCCACATGTCCATTGCAGGCGTCATTTCCTGGTATTCAAGAACTTCCGGAGACCAGTAGCATCGAGTTCCTGACAAGGTCGTCGTCGTCGTATCGAAGTTCTCGGGCTGCGATTTTCGTGAGACGGAGCCAAAGTCGATAATTTTGAGCTTGATATCTTCCCAATCACGTTTGAAATGGCTTTTGCTGTCACAATCCACGAGTGTCATGACGTTCTCAGGTTTCAGATCACCGTGAATGACATCAGCTTCGTGCATGAATTGCAACGCACTCGCTAACTGCGACACGAGTTGCAATGACTGCGTCGAATCCAGCGTGTGATGCTTGGTAATGAATGAATGAAGAGAAATGCCGGGCACATATTCCAATACAATGTAGTGGAAGTCATTGTGGTAATACGAGCCTTTGTAGCCTACAATATTCTCATGGCCACCCGCGCGCTCGAGACACTCCAATGCTTGTTGTTCACGCTGCACCTCTTCGTAATTCCCTTCAATGTCCTGGACCATTTTTACTGCCGCTACATGTCCAGTTTCCTTGTGTACACACTGCATCACTACCCCAAAAGAGCCACTGCCCAGTATCCTTTTTGTTTCATACTCAGTGTCAAAGTAGACTGAGACACTATTGCTGGTGGTATTGCCATCGACGAGTACATCGTCCTCTCCATCTTGTTTTTCTTCTTGTTCAAGCACTTCGCACAGCGTCTCACTTCCTCCAATAACAGTCAAAGCAGCCACTGCCGATCCAGCAATCAGCAACTCTCGTGTGTTCCAATTGTCCCCGTTTCCCTTGAATTGACGCAACGGTTGTTCACAAAAATCCACGGTAGTTCTCAACTTCATATTGTCATTGCTTGCAAGTGCAAGTGTTCGCATGCCGGTGTTGGCAATTCGTTGAATTCGACTAATTGCAAGCATCATCTGTCAAAAGGGTGTCGGTTTTAGATAAAAGCAGACTGATGTCAACACGTTCGTTGCGTGGTTTTCAACTTGTGGCTTTGCTTGCAATTTCACCTTTGACTTGTCCTCTTTACCTACCGAAAAAGAGTCTTCACTTGTTTTTAGTGTGACTGTGAAATGCAGTAACGTATTGTCTCGTAGAATGACTTTGATTACAGTACCACTTTGTTTCGTCCCTTTTGTACGTAACGGCTGATTATATGGAAACTACTATGAGACGTGCATCTCTATTACTAAATCAAAAAGAGCCATTTGTGTAAGTAACAATAAATAATGGATAGAGATGGATAGAATTTATCATATTCCACTTTTGTCATTATCGAATGATGGAGGTAAAATAGATGGGAAAGATTTCTAAATGGATAGAAAGAGCACAGCGTGCCACTCTTGCGAGGGAGTCACCAAGTCCATTATGGACAATAATGACGTCGAATGGCGGGTTTGGTCGGCGAGATTACAGGGTTTTCGTCCATTTCCGACATGGAATGGAACGATCAGTGCACCTCTAAAAACTAATCAAAAACTTTGTAGTCTTCTTACCGTCAATGGTGAGCTCGTAATACTACAAACCGTTGAAAATGACGATAAAATGGAGTTATTTGTGCGTGTTGTAAAGGTTCTTCTACCCACAATCGAGAACTTTGTGAGCTTTTGTCAATGTTGGGCAAAGGATGGATCATTTATTGCGACGGCACATGATAACAACGTGGTGTTGTATTCAAGTGACGATTTTCATGTGCTGCAGAGAGTGAACGTGTGCTATGTCGTGATATCTATGGACCTTGTAAAGGTGGAGACTCAAGACACGACAAGAAGAGACGATCGAGAGTTTCTTTTGCTGGTTGGCACAGCTTTTGGGGCTTTCTTGTACACGATCTTGTTGGACAGGGAGAGAGATAATGTAGAAAATGGTACAAGGGACTTGACATTGACGCCAGTAGCAAAAGTGCACGAGGGGGTTGCCGTGTGCATGGTCAAGTTCTCGAGTGATGGCTACACTGCTGCAATTGGAACCATGGATGGCCGATTGTTCTTGCGGAGATTGGATTCTCATAGTCATGACACTCTTGCCATATTCGGGACTGTCGTATTATCACGAGTGTTGCAAGCTCCACGGATCACGGGCTTGTCCTTTTCAATGTGCTCTACGAAACTCGTGGTAGCAACAAGAAAAGGCTACGTCTACGTGTTTACCTGTGCATCGAAAGTAGAGCCATGGCGGTCGCTACCAAGTTGCGTTCATCTCAGCGCGAACCCGAACGCACGTGGTGTACTTGGCACAAACAAAACAGCCTCTACGGTTCAGACGCTAGTGTCGTGCTGGGGGCCCGTCTTCGTAGTGTGCTCACGGACCCACACATCACGGCTTGAAATGTACGATTTCGTGTCTGGCAGTCTGTTGCACTCACTGCAGCTTGCACCAGTAAAATCCGTCTCCTCTGCGACGTTATGCCAGTGGGTGGATCAGCAACTTGTTACAGGTATTTGCAGCATGCAAATAAACGACGATGGACGCTCGCGGTTGCTGTGCCACGACTCGAGCGCCAACGTTGCTGTTGTGGAATGGCCATTTCTAGACGTCATTGAACGACGGTAGATGACTCAAAAGAATCGACTGGCGGACTTGAATGTTTTTGACTTTTCTTCGTTTCCACAAAATGCAACGCTTCTATAGGACCATGCGGTACATCTGCGCTGCCGATAATCTCAGCTATAAGGTCCTGTCGCGGGTTATAAGCTTCTGGCTACCAAAATGGAAACCTTACAAGTCGTATGAACTTGTCGGAGACGCTGAGCGGCATCAATTTGGCCGAACTAAACACCACCATAAAGTTTGTGAAGTGAAACTGTTTACAAGACAGCAGCTTGCTTGATCTGATTTTGCGCGCTGTCGTATGTCACGACCATTCACGTTTTTTCGTATTGTTTTGCAGTGGTCGGCACTGAATGCGATGCCGCGATGTAAGGACGGACATTATTTGTTCTCGCAAAAGTGTTCACACCTGCATCATCCAAATACATTCCAGTGCTTGGAATGCGCCGCCATTCGGTGAATGCTAGCAAAACCAAGATAGCTTTCGCTACCCACGAAAGACTTTACAGCAACGCCGACATTGCTACTCTCGTCGTCTGCTCACCTCCTCCTTCATTTCCCACGTCGTCGGTCTTTTTTGAACTGTCGCTCCTTCTGGTCGCAATTTTCTTGATGCGTGCTTGCTCATCGTCCCGATATTTAGCTACGTCGCGCCGGTGCGTCCGTCCGTTGACCAGCTTCCTCAGCAATCAGACTGCGCCGACTTTACTGATGGATGCAAGCTGCACCTGTTACATCAAAATCACGACAAAACTGCAGCTGGAGATGAAGTTTGGAATGGAACATACGGTGGAAGTATCGGCTACTGTAAAGCTGCTGAGTTCGGAGAACTGCAGTGGTGTGGAGAGTATTTGGCGTTGCGACGTCCAAATCGTGATGTTGGACACTCGTCGTATTGGAAACATTGGAGGAAATTTCAGGACATATTGGTATATGATATGCCGCCACCTTGTAGTTTGTTCTTTGTGGTGCGAGTGCTGCAGATATTGGAGGTGGTGGCCAATTTGTGCTTGCTTGACTCTTGTTCCCTGGACGGGGACACTGCAGACGTTGAAGCTTGTGCAGTACAGTGACGGAGACAAGCTTGACATTGTAAGATATGCAGGTCGAAGAATTGATGTCCATATGGGAGGACATAAGCTCGTCGCCGCGTGCAAACGACGCTCGCACAACTAAGTGAATGTAACTGATTGCCACTTTGTGCTACATTACGGGTTTTCTCGCTCGTTTATGACTGCATAGCTGGACGTCGCCTTGAACAATCAAGTAGACGAAAGCTGCCTCAAGTTAGTGATAGTCAACGAGTGGCCGGGCCCTCGCGGGGTGACGAATCTTGTACCTCGAAGGACGACACTATGTCTTTACGTCGATCTTCTCTAGAACTGACCTGATCATGGATTCCAACCAGTGCGATATTACGTCAAGTCGCTGTTCTTGAAGTGGCAGTAATCACGGCCATGAACCAAATTGATGACAAAGTTTTACTTCGTGTCCACACAAAACTCGCCATACGAAACCGTCATTGCAAACATCTTCCATCAGCACGCTTCCTCAACCCCCACATTCATCATTTCGCTTCAACTTACACGACCAAAAGCTTATCGCTCCGGCCCACCCCACACGTACTTATAAATAGACGAAGCACCACTGGTGAGTGAGCTCGCGACGGTGGAAACTGTTGCTTCGACAGCTTCGACGCCAATCTTGACGGACGAGCCAACAGATGTCATACCTTTCGACACCGTCTTCTCATTCGAATGGGCATGCACAAAGTCACTAAGCTTCAAGCCGATTCGTTCGTTCAGCTTGCCTTCCATCCGCAACATCAGCGCTGTCGCTGCCTCATCGTCCGATTGACCTGGAAGAAATCGTTCGATTACAAAGGCCTCGAGGTCACTCTGGGTGTAGTTCACTCCAAAGTCCGTTATCTCCGGAAGTGCCTTCACTACCAACGTGAGCATGATCATAAACAAACTCACGTGCCGCCTCAAACAGTTGAACGCAACGACACACAGCTGCTTGAACTGCTCAAATTGCTGTGTCTGCGTGCCTCCAAGAGCCTCAATCATGTAGTGGTCCAATCTCATCGGCGGCTGCAGCGGCTTGGGGTCCTTCCCCAGTATAAAACCGTAGTCGATGTGGAATAAGATGCCGTCTTTTGTGAGCATGACATTGTCTGCGTGGCGGTCACCCACACCCAACAAGAAAGTGATTACAGTGTATGCGGCAAGGCTCTCCCTGAAAGAGGAAGAGATGTCGCTGAGTGTGCGATGGCCATTATAATGGTGCAAGAAATTCATGATTGTACCGTGATCTCGAATAATGGAATACAGCGTGTGCGCATTCTCGACGATCTCAATGAGCCCGTCAAAACTGCTCGTCGGAAGCACACGATACGTCACTAGCGGAATATCCAGTCGTGTCTCCTGCTTTAAAATCAAGTACATGACGTTGATGATGTTCTGAACAATCGAGTCTTTTCGAAGATCATCCCGCTTGTACATAAGGCGATAGTGAGGCAGCTTCTGAGTACGACAACTCCATGTATTCCGCTGAGATTCGGCATTAGCATCCGCAAAGTACTCAGCCTCCTCTTCCTCGCGATTGACGTCCGTGCACGTGATGATCATGGGTGCCTCTGCACTTCGTTTTATCTCGATCTTTTTGTAGTCAATGCCGCAAACCTTGACCTGCGGATCGACAGGCAGTCGTAAGAGTGGCCATAATTGCCCTCCATCCCTTCTTGCTTGACTGGAGTCGCTAAGCTTTTTGTCATCGGTCGACGTTGGCAGGGATGATTTCTCGATCGATGCTTGCAAGATTTGACGCGCATCCTCGACAGGAATGCGTGGTGGGATCTTCCACAGTAAGTCCACCAGTTCCTGACCCCGAAGCAGCTGCTCCGCAATGTCATCACTGGCAAACTTCCGTAACTCTACCAGGCGGCCAGTTGACGACTTGTCCTTGAACTGCACCAGCGTGAGAAGTAGCCGCTGCTTCATGCCATCAAACTTGCGGCGACAACTTGAATCTTCTGCCATGATCGTAAGTCCCCAGTATAAATCGTAGCAGAAGCGAATATCACACTGAGCTTGACGGATCAGTGCCTGCCCTAGCTTGCTGCCAGCAGCGTTCGACTCTACACTGAGGCTGTGCAGAAGCACCTGCAAGTAACTCCACCATTCATTCTCGGTAGCAGTCTTCAGCAATGCCTTAATCGCCATCGCGCGCAGTCGATGGTTGCAAATGGTCTCGTCCGCAAGAATTTCCAATGCGTCGACACTACCAATGTGTGGCTTGCACAGACGCGAGCACATCGTCAGCATACATGTATGCTTACGCTCCTGACGTAACAATTCCATCACTTCGTCCACCAACTGCATGTTTGTTTCGTGCCTTTGTCGAGCACTGATAGGACTATCAATGTCACTCTCAGTCAGGTCTGTAACATGGTGCTCTGTCTCATTCTCGCCCGAGAAGTCAACAGCTTTCACGAGCTGCAATAGCCACTTTGTGTGACCAGCAAGGAACGAACGGTTAATGATCAACATTTTTTTCTCTCTCTCAGACAAGCGATGCGTTGGCAAATAGTACTGTATCTGGCGGAACATGGACAAACACATGATAGTTGCGCGGTGCCATTTCCGACACACTTGGCCTAAAGTCCGTAATTCCTGCAGATCAAACTCGCACAATTCAAACACCTTGACTGTGATGTAGTGGTGTCGTCGCTGTTGCAGTGCACACGCGCAGTCGTCACAAACGCGTTGCATGACACTGCTATCCTGGACGTCCATCGATCTGTGCGAGCTTGTCGCATTTGATGCCCCAATACTCGTCAGAGATGACGATGCACTCCCAGATCTAGTCCGATTCGGCGTAAATTTACTGATCACGTTATTTTCTTGCAGCCTCTGGACATCCTTCAAAAACTTTTCCTGTTGTTCTTCAGGCGTCGATCTCAGCGACACCGTATTCATAAACGATTGCGAGTGTCTAATTGTCCTGCTGCGACTCATATTCATCCCCGCCGCTGCGTTTGGACTCGAATACGACGTCAAATACCAGCTGATATTACCAATCAAATCACTAGCATTTGTCGTCAATGAATTATAAGCCGGCGATACTGGTGTCACCTCGTAATCTCCAGGAATCACCACACGTTGACTTGAACAGACCGAGCAAAAGATGCGTCCACAGGCACGACAATGATGTTTACGAACCAGGAGCGAGAACGCCGTGTGACACTTGAAACAGGCAAATACTGCATCATCTTGTACCCATGAAGATAATCTTCTAGGCTGTACAAACCTGTACATGTCCTGCCCTAAATGCCCATCGTCTCCATTGGCCCAATCTTCGTACTCTGTGCTACTGTTCATGTCCATGTATAGACCTGCTCTTGCATCCTCTTCACTCTCTTCCAGTATATCTTCACTGCCTTCATATACTGAATCCAACATGTTATTACCATAAGCAGGAGAGCCCTTATCTTTGTCATCTTGAACAGTCTCTGGCTGTAAGAATCGTCGATTCTGCTGGTCTGGAGCTCTAGTAAAACAAGTATTAGATCCTGAAGGTTTACGTCGACGTTTTTGCTGCTGATGCAAAGAATTACGAGCTTCTAGAACCTGTGAGAAGGACAGATCGACGACTGCAGAGGTTTCGTGGCTGTACATAACGTGATTCTGACGCTTCCAAAAAGAGTTAAAGATCGTACAAGACACGAAATGAAAGCGTAGATGATGAAGAAGAAGATAAGATGAAGAGAAGTGAGCGTTATACGCACAGAGACGCAGATAATTCGACCGCAAAGTGACGCACGAGGCCGCTTGAGTACGTACGTAACTTAAAGCGTTTTATTGCGCGTTCTGAGAAAGTTGATGTTTATTTGGTTCAAGAGGTTTTTTACAATTATAACAATTTAGAAGAGGAGACGGGAGAAAGTCGGAAGATACACGAGTACAACAGAGTCGTCGTTAGCCCAAAATAACGAAAAACTTACTTCAGAAAAACTTGCCTAAAGTGATACCCTTTAGATGTATCAGTTGAGACCAGGTATTAGCTACAATAGCATTACTATAAACCGGTTCTACCGAAATTATATAACAGGTAAAAGAAAAGTATCAGTTCGAATAGTATCAGTTGTTACGCAAGTATATCTCCTTATCAAACCATCACTCTTGAAGAAGAATGTTTTCAACAAATCAAAACATGTCAATATGGTTGTGATAAGTTGTGATTGGTACAAAGTCGAGATCCGCAAAAACGAGGGGCCCCAAACAAAAAATGAGGGGGGGGGGGGGGGATTCACTTTCGAAAAAAGCTCCTAACTGCCAACTGTCATTCCTAAACTCGAGAGAAAAAAAGAAGACATGGACATGTTAATGGAGTACAAGGAGAAGATCTCGGCCAAGTTGGAACGATATGATAAGGTCGTGGAACTGGAGAAGCAAACGGGCGTCGACAAGTTCTACATCTTTTGCGTGTTTGCAGTGCTTACGGGTGTCCTGCTGTTCGTAGCGGGTGGTGAGGAACTGGTGGTGGGCCTTGTGGGCTTTATCTACCCGGCTTACGTGTCGTTTAAGGCCATTAACACGCCCGGTACGGTTGATGACACGCAGTGGCTTACGTACTGGGTCGTCTACGCCTTCTTTAACCTCACAGAGTCCATTACGGACCTGCTGCTGTCCTGGATTCCCTTTTACTTTTTCTTAAAGATCGCGTTCCTTGTCTGGAGCTACCACCCAAGCACTCAGGTAGACGAAACATGGGTCTATTGCTGTAATTGTAGCTAAGGTCCTAACAGTTTCGCTTTTATTATGTGTTCTAGGGCTCGAAAGTGATTTACAACTCGCTGATTAAGCCGTACGTGGCTCCGCACGTGGGTCAAATTGATTCGGCTCTCAAACGTGGTGAGGATGCTGCCAAGAACGTAGCTGCCAAGCTCCAGGAGAAGAGCCAATAATGGAGTTTTGGGGAGGTGGAAACAAGAGCTAACAGCATCGATGCTGCAGTAGTGAAGTTGGGATGTGTTTACGTCTGCTCTTGCAGCAGCAATGTGTAAACAGTTTTGGCTGACGAGTGTTTTTGCTGCTAGAGTAGGGGCCAACCTGCTAGGGTTGTTGTTTTTTTCTTGCAACTGGATAATCCATTTTTACCATGGCAATGAATATACTGTTTTGCTCTGTGGAATCATTGCGAGTAGGAAACACTTTGATGGCATTGACCACCTCCTTAATGAGATTGAATACTTGTCCGTTGTGACATGGAGAAAGATCTTTGAAACCACCTGGTCTTTTTTTACACAAGGTTTGTAAAAGGTATTTACGTTATTTAAGTGGTTTACAACAGTTTCCCAATTAACAGCTGTCGTGCATCCAGCTGACATTTCTTATTGGCCAATATACTGTTTGGATCAGACATGGATTTTACCCAACCCGATTACAGTTGAATCCGACTAAAGCGATGGCGGTCAACAAGCCCCTGCCCGCAAAAGAGAGCGCGCTCTTTCGTTCCATCGTGGTACGTAATACTCTTCTCATTACCCTCATCTTTTTCCCCTTTGTCCATTCTCTTTATCCATACTTCTTCCATCTCACACTTCCTTCTACAAACTTTACAATTTCTAATAACATATTTTTCCTCTGTTGTAAATGTTACAATAGAAAAATTACGAAATCAAGCAGTACAAAAAAGGACTAAAAGCGGCTGATTCGATATTGAAAAAGTATCCAGATCATGGAGAGACTTTGGCCATGAAGGGACTCACACTCAATTGTATGGGTCGCAAGGACGAAGCCTATGACTTTGTCAAGAATGGACTGCGTCATGACCTTCGTAGCCACGTTTGCTGGCACGTCTTTGGTCTACTTTATCGCTCGGATCTCAACTACAATGAAGCTATCAAGTGTTATCGTAACGCGATCAGGATTGATCCAGAGAATTTGCAGATCTTGAGAGATTTGTACCTGTTGCAAGTGCAGATGCGCGACCTCAAGGGCTTTGCAGAGACACGTCGCACAATGCTTACGCTAAAGCCAAATAATCGGAACAATTGGATTGGTTTTGCCATTGCTCATCACTTAGTGGGCAATTATCAAATGGCGATTGACATTATTGAAAAGTATTTCAGCACTTTGGATGGTGAAACTGCTGCAAATTATGAAGACAGTGAGATTTACTTGTACCAAAACCAATTGCTGGAAGAAGCAGGTGACATTAAAATGGCACTGGCTAATTTAGAGCAGAACAAGAAGCATATCACGGACACACTAGCGTGGCGTCAGAAGAAAGGGCAGTTTTTGCTGCAGCTTGAACGCTACGATGAAGCGCGCGACGTGTTTAATGAACTACTTGAGATCAACTTTGACAATTATGAGTTTCATCGTGGATTGCAGTGCGCCATTCTGAAACAGAATGACATGTTTGTCTCGAAGCCTACTCAGCAAAAGAAAGCGCCACTGCCGTCTGAACTTATTGACTTTACGAAGGAGAAAAATGGCGAGGAGCTGGAAAAAGCTTTTGCGGATTTCTACGCGGAGAAAAAGACGACAGTCGGTGCGGAGTCGTTGATTTCGCTACGGTTCCCGATGGACTTCACACGCGGCGAGGAGTTTAAGAAGTACGCCGATGTGTACCTCAAGAGGCAGCTGAACAAGAAGGTGCCTTCTCTTGGGTCGGATCTGAAGCCGCTATACGCTGACAAGGATAAGGTGAAGGTACTGGAGGAGCTAATCATTGGTTATATGAAGACTCTGGAGGCCAAAAACCCGCTGGATATGGGCGATAACTCGATGGCAGCAAATATGACTGAAGAGGTCTTGCTGTGGACAAAGTACTTAGCGGCGCAGCACTATGACCGCTTAGGCGACTATACAAAAGCCATGGAGTACGTTGAGAAATGCATTGAGCAGAAGCCGACCCTGCTGGACTTTTTGCAACGCAAGGCTCGTATCTTGAAGCACATGGGCGACCTCAACAAGGCAGCTGACGTGATGGTTGAGGGACGTAAGTTTGATCTGGCAGATCGTTACATTAACAACAAGGCCACAGAGTACCTGCTGCACGCTGATCGTGTGGAGGAGGCTGACGCCACTATTGCTCTATTTACGCGCCACGAGGGCGACCCGCAGCAGAATTTGTTCGACATGCAATGCATGTGGTACGAGATCGAGTGCGGCAAGAGCCAACTGCGCCAGCAGAAGTATGGCCTCGCATTGAAGCGCTTTTTTGCCGTGGAAAAGCACTTCAATGACTTTGTGGAGGACCAGTTTGATTTCCACACGTACTGCATACGCAAGATGACGCTGCGTTCGTACATTCAGTTGCTGCGTCTCTGCGATACGATCTATGGCCACCCGTTCTTCGTGGAGGCTGCTAATGGCGCCATCGCTTGCTACAAGGCTTTGGCGGAGAAGAAGGAGTTGAAGGCACAGGAGGAAGCAAAAATTGCTTTGGCTAATGCTGGCATGTCTGCTGCCGATAAGAAGAAGGCGAAGCGCGCTCTTGCTAAGGCACGTAAGGCTGAGTTTAAGAAGAAAGAGGGGGAGGAACTCAATGCTAAACTGCACAAAGAGATCGAGGAGAAGGAGCGTGAGGCGAGCAAGAATGGAAAGGCCAAAGCAAACCCTGGCCCGACGCGTTCCAAGGACGACGACCCGTTTGGTGAAAAGCTGGCGGAGAAACCTGCCCTGGAGGAAGCATGGCGCTTTGTAGCAATTCTCCAGCGCTACGCCGCAGATGACGTGAAGACGCACCTGGCTGCATTCGACATCGCTCTTCGCAAGAAGAAGTTCTTGCTGTGTTTGCAGGCTCTTCTGAAGGCGCAGGCGCTGGAAGATGTGTCAGCGAAAGCCAAGACAGAGCTGAGCCTTCGCCAGACTGTGTTCCTGGAGGAGGTAAAGCAGGTGACAAACCCCGTCTTGCTTAAGGTCATCAATGAGAAGAAGGCTGAGCTGAAGAACTAAATGGTGGCGAAGGGTAGTGTTCAAACTGTGGGCGTTGCGCTGTAGCGACTTTGGGCTCGGTTTGGATAGGAGCGGACGTCCACGCATAGTAAACGAGTAGAGACAGGATATGCAACGAACGACGCATACGCGTCCGTTGACAGTCAATAGAGCAGTATCCTGCGTGTTGCGCCTGCCAAAATGATAATCAATTGGTCGAGTCTGTCGAGCAAGTCCCATGATCACCGCTCATTCCGTCCCGTATATTAGCGTATAATGGAAGACTCTAAACTTTCGCAATCAGAAGATGTGGGACGATCGCACTTGAGACTACGTTGGCTAGCTTACATACTGTTGTTGGATACCGAGCCAACTGGCTTACCGAAGTGGATTGCTCGATGGCTAGCAGCCTTCCGGTTTGTATCGGTGCAACCTACTGCTTCGAAGGTGCGTCCGAACCCTCATGTTGTAATAGTGTTCTTAGTCTTATCTTCATTGTCGACAGACCATTGATTCCTGAACACCTCTTCAAAGATTACAACACTCTAAATATTGAAGAGACGTTGATGTTAGGCGTGCGATGGATGATCCTTACTACTTTTTTAGTTCTAATGTGTTAATGATCTGCGTGTACGTATAACAAAGCTTCAGCGGGATCAATCAAAAGCAAAACGACACATTGGAACTCGCTATGGCGGCTAGCACTTCGATCAAGTGGCTGGAACCTACCGAAGTCTTAGCTGCAAGTAGCAATGTGTAGCCAATTCGAGCAAGCGATTTGGTTGCAAAGCACATTCTCAAGTGTTGGTAGATAAGTAGACAAAACGATCTACTACTTGCTCGAACGGTGGATTTTGAATCGAGTCACGACTTTTGCAATCACACAAAAGCGAAATGCCTACAGCGTCGTTGAGCTTGAAGTCCTAGACTGAAGTTACATGAACAAGAAGTGGATACCACTTTTTTCTACTGTCAAGCTATTGATGAAAGGAAGAAGACACGTTTATTAAATTGTTGCGAATAGATTGATTAAGGTAGTACGAATTTCGAGTCGTTCGACGCTGTAACGTAACAATACGTAGTATTGCTTTGTCCGAAGGAACCACTTTGCTGAGTCAGTTTAGCCGAGTAACGAGAGCAAGTTACACGTGGGCCCGACCTTCATATTGGTAAATGATCCTTTGGCGGACGGCACACTCATGTTCACATTGCTCAGAGCCTGAGTGAATTGATCGTGTGTAGTCACGTAAGGGTTGTCCCCCACAATGAAGAAGTGCGAGCTGCTTGTCAAACCCGAAACCAACATGCTGGAAATCGATACGGCCGTCGCATCCACTATTACGCTGAAGGATTGGTTGCTCACACCGCGCGGAATACCTAGATCCGGTTTCTGTGACAACGCGTAGCCCAAGTACTGCTGTCCGCTGTAGAGACTCATGTTGAACTCACCGATTCCTTCCAGTCCCAAACGAGCTGAGTTGTTCAGTACCACGTTAATATTTAGTTCATACTCGGACTCACTGCAGGCCGTGAGCTCGATTTCTTCAATTGTGGGATTTGGGTCGCTGAAAGCGTTGAAGCCCTCAAATGTCAAGTCGCGCTCCAAGCTGAGGTCCGTGAAGGACATTCCCAACGCTCGAGCTTCAAGCGAAGCGATGGCCGTGAACTTAATCTCGGCTTCATTTATGGCAGCGACCAACATCGCGTTAAACACGTTTTGGTCTGTAATGGGTATGTCAGCCTCGATGCTGATGTTATAGCTCTGTGATCCGGAAGTTATGTCTAGTCCGGGGAACGGCAGCATAACAAATTCGGCGCCATCATAGAGTAGCGATACAACGGTGGGATTTGTCGTGGCAGCGATGGCTACGTCATGTTGGATGTTCAAGCTTACATTCACTGCCAGAGTCTTGCTGTCCGGAATGTTCAAAATATCCATGTAGTTTAATGCTATTTGGACGCTATTAGTATAGTGTCGGACTATAGCAGGAAGAACGACGAACCACACAATAAAGAGAACAACAAGCAGCGCCAGCATCAAGAGTGTTATTATGGCGAGAACACGTTGTTTCTTGGTCATGTACCACCCAAAAAACTTCTTGGGTCGTTTGCCACCCGATCCCAGCAGCATTTCGTGACTTTCACTCTCCTTTATGTCGACTTGACGTCGCATGGATGAATATTCACGATACGCCGCCTGCGTACTGGGCGACGTCAATTCCGTAACTTTGTCCTCTTTCGACATTTTCTTGTTGATTGCGATGGCTTTGTTGGTGGCCTTGCAATTGTTGTAATGAAAGGATACCCTCGCGATCCACCACATCGACATGTTTGTTTCTGGCTAGTCTTACTGGACATTTAGGCAGTAATTCTAGCCAAACGTATATCGCTAACAACAAAGCCAGTAGAAATGAGCCGTAGAGATAAACACAACGTCTGCGAAGTCTAGGACGTCGGCCGAGAAGTCGGATGCCACTCTGCTGACCATTTCTCCTAAAGCACAAGAGACGAACAAATTAGTCTGCCTTGCCAATATATTTTTTGTATGTATATCGTTCCCTCATTTTCTCCAGAAACAGCATCAACTGACACCCTACCATTCAGAAAAGAGTCAATCGTTGAAACAGCGTGGAAAGTATCGGGTCATTCCGTGTGGTTGTTGTATTAGTAAGCTACGTTCACTACGGCATTAGTCACCGATAGCCCATTAAAGCTCGTGCACTTTGGCCAATTTAAATGACCGCACGATCCCTTTGCCACCTCATTTTTTGTATTCTGGAACGAAGAAGTACATTTAAAATTGTATATTCCTTGAAAGTTGCTGACCATACTGAAAGCTTCGAATGACGTCTCCCATCTATGTCTGTTAAAGGTGTTTGTGATGAGGTTCGTGATGATGGTTAAGTCCACCAAGCCACAGTCAGCGCTAGTCAGCGAAGTCATCGACGTTGCTGCGTGGGATGTAGAGCGCTTGTACTCCGCAACAGTCTGGTGCGTCTGAACACGTAGTCGTATGAATTTCTAGGCCCTGCAGCAACCGAAAAGGGAATCAAGAACGGTCGCGCAGGTGTCGCCTTCATGGTGTAGATGAAACAATTACATTTGTTTGCAATAAGTATCTAGGGGCGTCAAATCCGAACATAGACTGCAATGGCACCACGGTGCACAACGAATAAGAAGGTCAAGCCGGGAGCTGACATTCTTAGCGGATACTACCTATCATTGAAGACCGCACGCGTTTAGAATCACTGCAACTTCATCTTGTCGATCATGTAGACTCGGCACTAATATCGACATCTAGACTTTCAGCTGAGGTTTGTAAACTCCAAGAAAAAGACGTATAAGCACATGATGCAATTGTTTGAACCATTACCGAAGCTGTCGGTGAGATATTTTGCAAAGGCTACCGCGGGTGTGAACCACACGGGGGTCTTTTATACCAAGAACGTGGTCGAGACCTTTCACTGGTACAAACATGGTCGCCAAATTCGTCGTACTGGCTCGTGCTCTCGGTGTGCATTTTAGCGCGAGCGCAGTTCAACTAGAGCCTCTGATCCCGAAGAGCGAGCTTGACACTATTGCGTGGTCTAACGATCTAAAGATGGACAATATTGTCACCGGACTTGAGGCGTACGATGCGACTTTTCGAAAGAAATAGTACATACCTGCTGTGGCGGAGAGCAAACGTCCTCACTACGTTAAGTTGATCGACTTGACATAGTTCCCGTCAATGTAAGGCACAATCAAACCACTGCTCATTAGCGAGGACCACCCGACCTTCTACACTAAAGAAAATGAAATAGCCATCGTCTTCTCCGCAGTGCAATACACGAACCCACTTGTTCTCAGGATGTGGTATATAGCTGCTGCTGCTAGCGCTAGTGGCTTCCTCCGAGACTTCCTCACTTTTTTCAACTCGCGTAATAGCAAGAACACCTACGTCTAAATGGCAGGGGGTAAGAGTCAAGCTTCTCTTTACAAGTGGCACCTCAAACGGACCGATCCGCGTTACGGATGCGCTCAGTGTGAGCAGTTGTTGGATTACAATCTGCGTAGACGAATAAGCCGGTTTACCAAACCAACAAGCAAGCAGCCAAGCAGCCCCGATGGTACTTTGAAAGTGAGTTGATGCGAAATGCAACGTGTTGATTGTCGAAAAGCTTAAAGTGAACGCATATCGGCTAAGACTCCGTTCTCCATCACGATATCCATGAGCAGCTTCGGAGCGACTTGGGCATTTGTGAAAGCTGATGACATGTGATAGTTGATCCGGTTCGACGCGGATGTGGTCAGTTACGTCGAGGTGGTAGTTGCAGCAGTAAGGGCGACTGAGGGCGACATTGTCGAGCGAATGTACGTTGGTGCCATGGAGATAGCAAGATTTGCTGGGGTGTCGGCAGGAGTGACAGCGGGAGCTTGAGAAAGAGTCGGAGTAGATAGTGGGGCAGTAGTTGGGGCCACTACCGATGCCTTCGTATTAGTTGCCGGGACTACTGCACGCAGAAGGTCCACAACGTGACCGGCTAAAGCCCCAGTGTCACCACTCTTTGCCGCCGATATGATACCCACAGCGCTAGAAAGCACGCTGGGTGTCGTCACGATGCGTGCCAAAATATCAAAAAGGTCTTGAGTACTCATGGTAATAGCTGAGCCCGTTTTTTGGGCGTTCGGCAGAATCTCTTTGATGATGTCTGCAAGTTGCACGTGGTCACTCAGCGAGATGACAATGTTGCTATCTGTCACAAGGATAGTGTTGTTCTTGGCATTCAACTTGTTGCTGATGACACCGACTGGAACGGACAGCGAGGAGCTACCTTTTCCGCGCTTGGTGGGGTTCACGTCAGTAGCTTTCATGTCGTTCACCATTTGGTGATCGGCTGCCACGAATGACACCAAACATACCAGAGTGATAGCGATCGCAGCAATTGAAGTCTTCATCGGGTAGCTTGGGTGTTGAAGCTAAGGTCGACTTGAGTACTTGGAGTCCAGTAGAACAATGACAGAGGAATGAAAACCCGCGGTAAAGCTGGGTTAAAGCTGCTGCATACGAAAGACCGATCTCGCGGAAATGACAAAGAAACACCGTGTAGAAATCTCCAGACCTACGACGATAATCTTACTTGAAACTTTCAATTTGAGTTTGAATACACACGCTGGGCTGAACGACGTAGATGTAGGAAGTAGTGCGACTAGTACCGAGTCTACATGATCGACATTATAAAGGTGTGGCAATCCTATCGGAAGCAGACATCGGTGATAGACGATATTCACTGAGAACGTCAGCACACGTATCATATTAGTCTTATCATACTAGCACTTCTTTGGGCCATTTGCTCGCCATTGTGGTCGGATTCAAGACTAATATGATACGACTAGTCTTGAATCTGCCAGCCGACCCCAATGACGAGCCAAATGGTCCAAGAAGTGCTAGTTGATTCTTTTTCCTTCAAATAACGACACCTTGTCCCTCTCCGCTGCGAAAGTTTGTCAGTTGGATCGCACACGCAGATGGCAAGCACAGCGTTGAAAAGCTCGGTAGTACGTCTGATGTACTTGTTTCACCTACTTCATCTCGTGAGAGCGTCACCACCACTCACACCAAGCGTGGTCGTACGTTCTTCATGTTCACGTCGACAATCGGCGCAGGGATGCCTCGCGTTGAAACAATCGTCAACATCTTGTGGGTGACCGAGTGCTTCGGATCGAGACGTCGCTGAGTGGATCAATGACTAAGGTGATGCAAGGAAAAGACTTTCTGAAACTGTTGGAACGGTACTTAGCAAGGGCTACTGCGAACGTGATCCACGGGGATCTTTTTCGCCACAGACATGGTCGAGGACTTCACTGACACAGATATGGTCGTCGTTAAAATCGTCGTATTCTGAGAGGTGGACGATCTTGTCACCGGACTTGAGGCGAACGATGCGACTTTTCGGGAGAAATTCTACATACCTGCTGTGGTGGAGAGCAAACGTCCTCACTACGTTAAGTCGATCGACTTGACCAAGTTCCTGTCAATGTAAGCCACAATCAAACCACTGCTCATTAGCGAGGACCACCCGACCTTCTACAATAAAGACATGAAATAGCCATCGACTTCTCCTCAGTGCAATACACGAACCCACTTGTTCTCAGGATGTGGTATATAGCTGCTGCTGCTAGCGCTAGTGGTTTCCTCCGAGACTTCCTCACTCTTCCTCCTTTGTCAACTCGCGTAATAGCAAGAACATCTACGTCTAAATGGAGGGGGTAAGAGTCAAGCCTCTCTTTACAAGTGGCACCTCAAACGGACCGATCCGCGTTACGGATGCGCTCAGTGTGAGCATTTGTTAGATTACAATCTGCGTAGACGAATAAACCAGCTTACCAAACAAACAAGCAAGCAGCCTCGATGGCACTTTGAAAGTGAGTTGATGCGAAATGCAACGTGTTGATTGTCGAAAAGTTTAGAGTGAACGCAACGCATATCGGCTAAGACTCCGTTCTCCATCACGATATCCATGAGCAGCTTCGGATCGACTTGGGCATTTTTGAAAGCTGATGACATGTGATAGTTGATCCGGTTCGACGCGGATGTGGTCATTTACGTCGAGGTGGTAGTTGCAGCAGTAAGGGCGACTGGGGGCGACATTGTCGAGCGTATGTACGTTGGTGCCATGGCGATAGCAAGATTTGCTGGGGTGTCGGCAGGAGTGACAGCGGGAGCTTGAGAAAGAGTCGGAGTAGATAGTGGGGCAGTAGTTGGGGCCACTACCGATGCCTTCGTATTAGTTGCCGGGACTACTGCACGCAGAAGGTCCACAACGTGACCGGCTAAAGCCCCAGTGTCACCACTCTTTGCCGCCGAAATGATACCCACAGCGCTAGAAAGCACGCTGGGTGTCGTCACGATGCGTGCCAAAATATCAAAAAGGTCTTGAGTACTCATGGTAATAGCTGAGCCCGTTTTCCGGGCGTTCGGCAGAATCTTTTTGATGATGTCTGCAAGTTGCACGTGGTCACTCAGCGAGATGACAATGTTGCTATTGGTCACAAGGATAGTGTTGTTCTTGGCATTCAACTTGTTGCTGATGACACCGACTGGAACGGACATCGAGAAGCTACCTTTTCCGGGTTTGGCGGGGTTCACGTCAGTAGCTGTCATGTCGTTCACCATTTGGTGATCGGCTGCCACGAACGACACCAAACATACCAGAGTGATAGCGATCGCAGCAATTGAAGTCTTCATCGGGCAGCTTGGGTGTTGAAGATAAGGTCGACTTGAGTACTTGGAGTCCAGTAGAACAATGACAGAGGAATGAAAACCCGCGGTAAAGCTGGGTTAAAGCTGCTGCATACGAAAGACCGATCTCGCGGAAATGACAAAGAAACACCGTGTAGAAATCTCCAGACCTACGACGATAATCTTACTTGAAACTTTCAATTTGAGTTTGAACACGAACGCTGGGCTGAACGACATAGATGTAGGAAGTAGTGCGACTAGTTCCGAGTCTACATGATCGACATTATAAAGGTGTGGCAATCCTATCGGAAGCAGACATCGGTGATAGACGATATTCACTGAGAACGTCAGCACACGTATCATATTAGTCTTATCATACTAGCACTTCTTTGGGCCATTTGCTCGTCATTGTGGTCGGATTCAAGACTAATATGATACGACTAGTCTTGAATCTATCAGCCGACCCCAATGACGAGCCAAATGGTCCAAGAAGTGCTAGTTGATTCTTTTTCTTCTTCAAATAACGATACCTTGTCCCTCTCCGCTGCGAAAGTCTGTCAGTTGGATCGCACACGCAGATGGCAAGTACAGCATTGACAAGCTCGGTAGTACGTCTGATGGTACTTGTTTCACCTACTTCATCTCGTGAGAGCGTCACCACCACTCACACCAAGCGTGGTCGTACGTTCTTCATGTTCACGTCGACAATCGGCGCAGGGATGCCTCGCGTTGAAACAATCGTCAACATCTTGTGTGTGGCCGAGTGCTTCGGATCGAGACGTCGCTGAGTGGATTAATGACTAAGGTGATGCAAGGAAAAGACTTTCTGAAACTGTTGGAACGGTACTTAGCAAGAGCTACTGCGAACGTGATCCACGGGGATCTTTTTCGCCACAGACATGGTCGAGGACTTCACTGACACAGATATGGTCGTCGTTAAAATCGTCGTATTCTGAGAGGTGGACGATCTTGTCACCGGACTTGAGGCGAACGATGCGACTTTTCGGGAGAAATTCTACATACCTGCTGTGGTAGAGAGCAAACGTCCTCACTACGTTAAGTCGATCGACTTGACCAAGTTACTGTCAATGTAAGCCACAATCAAACCACTGCTCATTAGCGAGGACCACCCGACCTTCTACAATAAAGACATGAAATAGCCATCGACTTCTCCTCAGTGCAATACACGAACCCACTTGTTCTCAGGATGTGGTATATAGCTGCTGCTGCTAGCGCTAGTGGTTTCCTCCGAGACTTCCTCACTCTCCTTTTGTCAACTCGCGTAATAGCAAGAACATCTACGTCTAAATGGAGGGGGTAAGAGTCAAGCCTCTCTTTACAAGTGGCACCTCAAACGGACCGATCCGCGTTACGGATGCGCTCAGTGTGAGCAGTTGTTAGATTACAATCTGCGTAGACGAATAAACCAGCTTACCAAACAAACAAGCAAGCAGCCCCGATGGCACTTTGAAAGTGAGTTGATGCGAAATGCAACGTGTTGATTGTCGAAAAGTTTAGAGTGAACGCAACGCATATCGGCTAAGACTCCGTTCTCCATCACGATATCCATGAGCAGCTTCTGAGCGACTTGGGCATTTTTGAAAGCTGATGACATGTGATAGTTGATCCGGTTCGACGCGGATGTGGTCATTTACGTCGAGGTGGTAGTTGCAGCAGTAAGGGCGACTGAGGGCGACATTGTCGAGCGAATGTACGTTGGCGCCATGGCGATAGCAAGATTTGCTGGGGTGTCGGCAGGAGTGACAGCGGGAGCTTGAGAAAGAGTCGGAGTAGATAGTGGGGCAGTAGTTGGGGCCACTACCGGTGCCTTCGTATTAGTTGCCGGGACTACTGCACGCAGAAGGTCCACAACGTGACCGGCTAAAGCCCCAGTGTCACCACTCTTTGCCGCCGAAATGATACCCACAGCGCTAGAAAGCACGCTGGGTGTCGTCACGATGCGTGCCAAAATATCAAAAAGGTCTTGAGTACTCATGGTAATAGCTGAGCCCGTTTTCCGGGCGTTCGGCAGAATCTTTTTGATGATGTCTGCAAGTTGCACGTGGTCACTCAGCGAGATGACAATGTTGCTATTGGTCACAAGGATAGTGTTGTTCTTGGCATTCAACTTGTTGCTGATGACACCGACTGGAACGGACAGCGAGAAGCTACCTTTTCCGGGTTTGGCGGGGTTCACGTCAGTAGCTGTCATGTCGTTCACCATTTGGTGATCGGCTGCCACGAACGACACCAAACATACCAGAGCGATAGCGATCGCAGCAATTGAAGTCTTCATCGGGCAGCTTGGGTGTTGAAGATAAGGTCGACTTGAGTACTTGGAGTCCAGTAGAACAATGACAGAGGAATGAAAACCCGCGGTAAAGCTGGGTTAAAGCTGCTGCATACGAAAGACCGATCTCGCGGAAATGACAAAGAAACACCGTGTAGAAATCTCCAGACCTACGACGATAATCTTACTTGAAACTTTCAATTTGAGTTTGAACACGAACGCTGGGCTGAACGACATAGATGTAGGAAGTAGAGCGACTAGTTCCGAGTCTACATGATCGACATTATAAAGGTGTGGCAATTCTATCGGAAGCAGACATCGGTGATAGACGATATTCACTGAGAACGTCAGCACACGTATCATATTAGTCTTATCATACTAGCACTTCTTTGGGCCATTTGCTCGTCATTGTGGTCGGATTCAAGACTAATATGATACGACTAGTCTTGAATCTATCAGCCGACCCCAATGACGAGCCAAATGGTCCAAGAAGTGCTAGTTGATTCTTTTTCTTCTTCAAATAACGATACCTTGTCCGTCTCTGCTGCGAAAGTCTGTCAGTTGGATCGCACACCAGATGGCAAGTACAGCATTGACAAGCTCGGTAGTACGTCTGATGGTACTTGTTTCACCTACTTCATCTCGTGAGAGCGTCACCACCACTCACACCAAGCGTGGTCGTACGTTCTTCATGTTCACGTCGACAATCGGCGCAGGGATGCCTCGCGTTGAAACAATCGTCAACATCTTGTGTGTGGCCGAGTGCTTCGGATCGAGACGTCGCTGAGTGGATTAATGACTAAGGTGATGCAAGGAAAAGACTTTCTGAAACTGTTGGAACGGTACTTAGCAAGAGCTACTGCGAACGTGATCCACGGGGATCTTTTTCGCCACAGACATGGTCGAGGACTTCACTGACACAGATATGGTCGTCGTTAAAATCGTCGTATTCTGAGAGGTGGACGATCTTGTCACCGGACTTGAGGCGAACGATGCGACTTTTCGGGAGAAATTCTACATACCTGCTGTGGTGGAGAGCAAACGTCCTCACTACGTTAAGTCGATCGACTTGACCAAGTTCCCGTCAATGTAAGCCACAATCAAACCACTGCTCATTAGCGAGGACCACCCGACCTTCTACACTAAAGACATGAAATAGCCATCGACTTCTCCTCAGTGCAATACACGAACCCACTTGTTCTCAGGATGTGGTATATAGCTGCTGCTGCTAGCGCTAGTGGTTTCCTCCGAGACTTCCTCACTCTTTTGTCAACTCGCGTAATAGCAAGAACATCTACGTCTAAATGGCAGGGGGTAAGAGTCAAGCCACTCTTTACAAGTGGCACCTCAAACGGACCGATCCGCGTTACGGATGCGCTCAGTGTGAGCAGTTGTTGGATTACAATCTGCGTAGACGAATAAGCCAGCTTACCAAACCAACAAGCAAAGCCAAGCAGCCCCGATGGTACTTTGAAAGTGAGTTGATGCGAAATGCAACGTGTTGATTGTCGAAAAGTTTAAAGTGAACGCATATCGGCTAAGACTCCGTTCTCCATCACGATATCCGTGAGCAGCTTCGGAGCGACTTGGGCATTTGTGAAAGCTGATGACATGTGATAGTTGATCCGGTTCGACGCGGATGTGGTCAGTTACGTCGAGGTGGTAGTTGCAGCAGTAAGGGCGACTGAGGGCGACATTGTCGAGCGAATGTACGTTGGTGCCATGGCGATAGCAAGATTTGCTGGGGTGTCGGCAGGAGTGACAGCGGGAGCTTGAGAAAGAGTCGGAGTAGATAGTGGGGCAGTAGTTGGGGCCACTACCGATGCCTTCGTATTAGTTGCCGGGACTACTGCACGCAGAAGGTCCACAACGTGACCGGCTAAAGCCCCAGTGTCACCACTCTTTGCCGCCGAAATGATACCCACAGCGCTAGAAAGCACGCTGGGTGTCGTCACGATGCGTGCCAAAATATCAAAAAGGTCTTGAGTACTCATGGTAATAGCTGAGCCCGTTTTCTGGGCGTTCGGCAGAATCTTTTTGATGATGTCTGCAAGTTGCACGTGGTCACTCAGCGAGATGACAATGTTGCTATCGGTCACAAGTATAGTGTTGTTCTTGGCATTCAACTTGTTGCTGATGACACCGACTGGAACGGACATCGAGGAGCTACCTTTTCCGGGTTTGGCGGGGTTCACGTCAGTAGCTGTCATGTCGTTCACCATTTGGTGATCGGCTGCCACGAACGACACCAAACATACCAGAGCGATAGCGATCGCAGCAATTGAAGTCTTCATCGGGCAGCTTGGGTGTTGAAGCTAAGGTCGACTTGAGTACTTGGAGTCCAGTAGAACAATGACAGAGGAATGAAAACCCGCGGTAAAGCTGGGTTAAAGCTGCTGCATACGAAAGACCGATCTCGCGGAAATGACAAAGAAACACCGTGTAGAAATCTCCAGACCTACGACGATAATCTTACTTGAAACTTTCAATTTGAGTTTGAACACAAACGCTGGGCTGAACGACATAGATGTAGGAAGTAGTGCGACTAGTTCCGAGTCTACATGATCGACATTATAAAGGTGTGGCAATCCTATCGGAAGCAGACATCGGTGATAGACGATATCCACTGAGAACGTCAGCACACGTATCATATTAGTCTTATCATACTAGCACTTCTTTGGGCCATTTGCTCGCCATTGTGGTCGGATTCAAGACTAATATGATACGACTAGTCTTGAATCTGCCAGCCGACCCCAATGACGAGCCAAATGGTCCAAGAAGTGCTAGTTGATTCTTTTTCTTCTTCAAATAACGACACCTTGTCCCTCTCCGCTGCGAAAGTCTGTCAGTTGGATCGCACACGCAGATGGCAAGTACAGCATTGACAAGCTCGGTAGTACGTCTGATGGTACTTGTTTCACCTACTTCATCTCGTGAGAGCGTCACCACCACTCACACCAAGCGTGGTCGTACGTTCTTCATGTTCACGTCGACAATCGGCGCAGGGATGCCTCGCGTTGAAACAATCGTCAACATCTTGTGTGTGGCCGAGTGCTTCGGATCGAGACGTCGCTAAGTGGATCAATGACTAAGGTGATGCAAGGAAAAGACTTTCTGAAACTGTTGGAACGGTACTTAGCAAGGGCTACTGAGAACGTGATCCACGGGGTCTTTTTCGACAGACGTGGTCGAGGACTTCACTGACACAGATATGGTCGTCGTTAAAATCGTCGTATTCTGAGAGGTGGACGATATTGTCACCGGACTTGAGGCGAACGATGCGACTTTTCGGGAGAAATACTACATACCTGCTGTGGTGGAGAGCAAACGTCCTCACTACGTTAAGTCGATCGACTTGACCAAGTTCCTGTCAATGTAAGCCACAATCAAACCACTGCTCATTAGCGAGGACCACCCGACCTTCTACACTAAAGAAAATGAAATAGCCATCGACTTCTCCTCAGTGCAATACACGAACCCACTTGTTCTCAGGATGTGGTATATAGCTGCTGCTGCTAGCGCTAGTGGCTTCCTCCGAGACTTCCTCACTCTTCCTCACTTTTGTCAACTCGCGTAATAGCAAGAACATCTACGTCTAAATGGCAGGGGGTAAGAGTCAAGCCTCTCTTTACAAGTGGCACCTCAAACGGACCGATCCGCGTTACGGATGCGCTCAGTGTGAGCAGTTGTTGGATTACAATCTGCGTAGACGAATAAACCAGCTTACCAAACAAACAAGCAAGCAGCCCCGATGGCACTTTGAAAGTGAGTTGATGCGAAATGCAACGTGTTGATTGTCGAAAAGTTTAGAGTGAATGCATATCGGCTAAGACTCCGTTCTTCATCACGATATCCATGAGCAGCTTCGGAGCGACTTGGGCATTTGTGAAAGCTGATGACATGTGATATTTGATCCGGTTCGACGCGGATGTGGTCAGTTACGTCGAGGTGGTAGTTGCAGCAGTAAGGGCGACTGAGGGCGACATTGTCGAGCGAATGTACGTTGGCGCCATGGAGATAGCAAGATTTGCTGGGGTGTCGGCAGGAGTGACAGCGGGAGCTTGAGAAAGAGTCGGAGTAGATAGTGGGGCAGTAGTTGGGGCCACTACCGATGCCTTCGTATTAGTTGCCGGGACTACTGCACGCAGAAGGTCCACAACGTGACCGGCTAAAGCCCCAGTGTCACCACTCTTTGCCGCCGATATGATACCCACAGCGCTAGAAAGCACGCTGGGTGTCGTCACGATGCGTGCCAAAATATCAAAAAGGTCTTGAGTACTCATGGTAATAGCTGAGCCCGTTTTTTGGGCGTTCGGCAGAATCTCTTTGATGATGTCTGCAAGTTGCACGTGGTCACTCAGCGAGATGACAATGTTGCTATCGGTCACAAGGATAGTGTTGTTCTTGGCATTCAACTTGTTGCTGATGACACCGACTGGAACGGACAGCGAGGAGCTACCTTTTCCGGGTTTGGCGGGGTTCACGTCAGTAGCTGTCATGTCGTTCACCATTTGGTGATCGGCTGCCACGAATGACACCAAACATACCAGAGTGATAGCGATCGCAGCAATTGAAGTCTTCATCGGGTAGCTTGGGTGTTGAAGCTAAGGTCGACTTGAGTACTTGGAGTCCAATAGAACAATGACAGAGGAATGAAAACCCGCGGTAAAGCTGGGTTAAAGCTGCTGCATACGAAAGACCGATCTCGCGGAAATGACAAAGAAACACCGTGTAGAAATCTCCAGACCTACGACGATAATCTTACTTGAAACTTTCAATTTGAGTTTGAACACAAACGCTGGGCTGAACGACGTAGATGTAGGAAGTAGTGCGACTAGTTCCGAGTCTACATGATCGACATTATAAAGGTGTGGCAATCATATCGGAAGCAGACATCGGTGGTAGACGATATCCACTGAGAACGTCAGCACACGTATCATACTAGTCTTATCATACTAGCACTTCTTTGGGCCATTTGCTCGTCATTGTGGTCGGATTCAAGACTAATATGATACGACTAGTCTTGAATCTGCCAGCCGACCCCAATGACGAGCCAAATGGTCCAAGAAGTGCTAGTTGATTCTTTTTTTCTTCAAATAACGACACCTTGTCCGTCTCTGCTGCGAAAGTCTGTCAGCTGGATCGCACACGCAATGGCAAGTACAGCATTGACAAGCTCGGTAGTACGTCTGATGGTACTTGTTTCACCTACTTCATCTCGTGAGAGCGTCACCACCACTCACACCAAGACTGGTCGTACGTTCTTCATGTTCACGTCGACAATCGGCGCAGGGATGCCTCGCGTTGAAACAATCGTCAACATCTTGTGTGTGGCCGAGTGCTTCGGATCGAGACGTCGCTAAGTGGATCAATGACTAAGGTGATGCAAGGAAAAGACTTTCTGAAACTGTTGGAACGGTACTTAGCAAGGGCTACTGAGAACGTGATCCACGGGGTCTTTTTCGCAGACGTGGTCGAGGACTTCACTGACACAGATATGGTGTCGTTCAAATCGTCGTATTTCGAGAGTTGGACGATATTGTCACCGGACTTGAGGCGTACGATGCGATTTTTCGAAAGAAATACTACATACCTGCTGTGGTAGAAAGCAAACGTCCTCACTACGTTAAGTCGATCGACTTGACCAAGTTACTGTCAATGTAAGCCACAATCAAACCACTGCTCATTAGCGAGGACCACCCGACCTTCAACACTAAAGAAAATGAAATAGCCATCGACTTCTCCTCAGTGCAATACACGAACCCACTTGTTCTCAGGATGTGGTATATAGCTGCTGCTGCTAGCGCTAGTGGCTTCCTCCGAGACTTCCTCACTCTTCCTCACTTTTGTCAACTCGCGTAATAGCAAGAACATCTACGTCTAAATGGCAGGGGGTAAGAGTCAAGCCACTCTTTACAAGTGGCACCTCAAACGGACCGATCCGCGTTACGGATGCGCTCAGTGTGAGCAGTTGTTGGATTACAATCTGCGTAGATGAATAAACCAGCTTACCAAACAAACAAGCAAGCAGCCCCGATGGCACTTTGAAAGTGAGTTGATGCGAAATGCAACGTGTTGATTGTCGAAAAGTTTAGAGTGAACGCAACGCATATCGGCTAAGACTCCGTTCTTCATCACGATATCCATGAGCAGCTTCGGAGCGACTTGGGCATTTGTGAAAGCTGATGACATGTGATATTTGATCCGGTTCGACGCGGATGTGGTCAGTTACGTCGAGGTGGTAGTTGCAGCAGTAAGGGCGACTGAGGGCGACATTGTCGAGCGAATGTACGTTGGCGCCATGGAGATAGCAAGATTTGCTGGGGTGTCGGCAGGAGTGACAGCGGGAGCTTGAGAAAGAGTCGGAGTAGATAGTGGGGCAGTAGTTGGGGCCACTACCGATGCCTTCGTATCAGTTGCCGGGACTACTGCACGCAGAAGGTCCACAACGTGACCGGCTAAAGCCCCAGTGTCACCACTCTTTGCCGCCGATATGATACCCACAGCGCTAGAAAGCACGCTGGGTGTCGTCACGATGCGTGCCAAAATATCAAAAAGGTCTTGAGTACTCATGGTAATAGCTGAGCCCGTTTTTTGGGCGTTCGGCAGAATCTCTTTGATGATGTCTGCAAGTTGCACGTGGTCACTCAGCGAGATGACAATGTTGCTATCGGTCACGAGGATAGTGTTGTTCTTGGCATTCAACTTGTTGCTGATGACACCGACTGGAACGGACAGCGAGGAGCTACCTTTTCCGGGTTTGGCGGGGTTCACGTCAGTAGCTGTCATGTCGTTCACCATTTGGTGATCGGCTGCCACGAATGACACCAAACATACCAGAGTGATAGCGATCGCAGCAATTGAAGTCTTCATCGGGTAGCTTGGGTGTTGAAGCTAAGGTCGACTTGAGTACTTGGAGTCCAATAGAACAATGACAGAGGAATGAAAACCCGCGGTAAAGCTGGGTTAAAGCTGCTGCATACGAAAGACCGATCTCGCGGAAATGACAAAGAAACACCGTGTAGAAATCTCCAGACCTACGACGATAATCTTACTTGAACTTTCAATTTGAGTTTGAACACAAACGCTGGGCTGAACGACATAGATGTAGGAAGTAGTGCGACTAGTTCCGAGTCTACATGATCGACATTATAAAGGTGTGGCAATCATATCGGAAGCAGACATCGGTGGTAGACGATATCCACTGAGAACGTCAGCACACGTATCATACTAGTCTTATCATACTAGCACTTCTTTGGGCCATTTGCTCGTCATTGTGGTCGGATTCAAGACTAATATGATACGACTAGTCTTGAATCTGCCAGCCGACCCCAATGACGAGCCAAATGGTCCAAGAAGTGCTAGTTGATTCTTTTTTCTTCAAATAACGACACCTTGTCCGTCTCTGCTGCGAAAGTCTGTCAGTTGGATCGTACACGCAATGGCAAGCACAGCGTTGACAAGCTCGGTAGTACGTCTGATGGTACTTGTTTCACCTACTTCATCTCGTGAGAGCGTCACCACCACTCACACCAAGACTGGTCGTACGTTCTTCATGTTCACGTCGACAATCGGCGCAGGGATGCCTCGCGTTGAAACAATCGTCAACATCTTGTGTGTGACCGAGTGCTTCGGATCGAGACGTCGCTAAGTGGATCAATGACTAAGGTGATGCAAGGAAAAGACTTTCTGAAACTGTTGGAACGGTACTTAGCAAGGGCTACTGAGAACGTGATCCACGGGGTCTTTTTCGCAGACGTGGTCGAGGACTTCACTGACACAGATATGGTCGTTCAAATCGTCGTATTTCGAGAGTTGGACGATATTGTCACCGGACTTGAGGCGTACGATGCGATTTTTCGAAAGAAATACTACATACCTGCTGTGGTAGAAAGCAAACGTCCTCACTACGTTAAGTCGATCGACTTGACCAAGTTACTGTCAATGTAAGCCACAATCAAACCACTGCTCATTAGCGAGGACCACCCGACCTTCAACACTAAAGAAAATGAAATAGCCATCGACTTCTCCTCAGTGCAATACACGAACCCACTTGTTCTCAGGATGTGGTATATAGCTGCTGCTGCTAGCGCTAGTGGCTTCCTCCGAGACTTCCTCACTCTTCCTCACTTTTGTCAACTCGCGTAATAGCAAGAACATCTACGTCTAAATGGCGGGGGGTAAGAGTCAAGCCACTCTTTACAAGTGGCACCTCAAACGGACGGATCCGCGTTACGGATGCGCTCAGTGTGAGCAGTTGTTGGATTACAATCTGCGTAGATGAATAAACCAGCTTACCAAACAAACAAGCAAGCAGCCCCGATGGCACTTTGAAAGTGAGTTGATGCGAAATGCAACGTGTTGATTGTCGAAAAGTTTAGAGTGAATGCATATCGGCTAAGACTCCGTTCTTCATCACGATATCCATGAGCAGCTTCGGAGCGACTTGGGCATTTGTGAAAGCTGATGACATGTGATATTTGATCCGGTTCGACGCGGATGTGGTCAGTTACGTCGAGGTGATAGTTGCAGCAGTAAGGGCGACTGAGGGCGACATTGTCGAGCGAATGTACGTTGGCGCCATGGAGATAGCAAGATTTGCTGGGGTGTCGGCAGGAGTGACAGCGGGAGCTTGAGAAAGAGTCGGAGTAGATAGTGGGGCAGTAGTTGGGGCCACTACCGATGCCTTCGTATTAGTTGCCGGGACTACTGCACGCAGAAGGTCCACAACGTGACCGGCTAAAGCCCCAGTGTCACCACTCTTTGCCGCCGATATGATACCCACAGCGCTAGAAAGCACGCTGGGTGTCGTCACGATGCGTGCCAAAATATCAAAAAGGTCTTGAGTACTCATGGTAATAGCTGAGCCCGTTTTTTGGGCGTTCGGCAGAATCTCTTTGATGATGTCTGCAAGTTGCACGTGGTCACTCAGCGAGATGACAATGTTGCTATCGGTCACGAGGATAGTGTTGTTCTTGGCATTCAACTTGTTGCTGATGACACCGACTGGAACGGACAGCGAGGAGCTACCTTTTCCGGGTTTGGCGGGGTTCACGTCAGTAGCTGTCATGTCGTTCACCATTTGGTGATCGGCTGCCACGAATGACACCAAACATACCAGAGTGATAGCGATCGCAGCAATTGAAGTCTTCATCGGGTAGCTTGGGTGTTGAAGCTAAGGTCGACTTGAGTACTTGGAGTCCAATAGAACAATGACAGAGGAATGAAAACCCGCGGTAAAGCTGGGTTAAAGCTGCTGCATACGAAAGACCGATCTCGCGGAAATGACAAAGAAACACCGTGTAGAAATCTCCAGACCTACGACGATAATCTTACTTGAACTTTCAATTTGAGTTTGAACACAAACGCTGGGCTGAACGACGTAGATGTAGGAAGTAGTGCGACTAGTTCCGAGTCTACATGATCGACATTATAAAGGTGTGGCAATCATATCGGAAGCAGACATCGGTGGTAGACGATATCCACTGAGAACGTCAGCACACGTATCATACTAGTCTTATCATACTAGCACTTCTTTGGGCCATTTGCTCGTCATTGTGGTCGGATTCAAGACTAATATGATACGACTAGTCTTGAATCTGCCAGCCGACCCCAATGACGAGCCAAATGGTCCAAGAAGTGCTAGTTGATTCTTTTTTCTTCAAATAACGACACCTTGTCCGTCTCTGCTGCGAAAGTCTGTCAGTTGGATCGTACACGCAATGGCAAGCACAGCGTTGACAAGCTTGGTAGTACGTCTGATGGTACTTGTTTCACCTACTTCATCTCGTGAGAGCGTCACCACCACTCACACCAAGACTGGTCGTACGTTCTTCATGTTCACGTCGACAATCGGCGCAGGGATGCCTCGCGTTGAAACAATCGTCAACATCTTGTGTGTGACCGAGTGCTTCGGATCGAGACGTCGCTAAGTGGATCAATGACTAAGGTGATGCAAGGAAAAGACTTTCTGAAACTGTTGGAACGGTACTTAGCAAGGGCTACTGAGAACGTGATCCACGGGGTCTTTTTCGCAGACGTGGTCGAGGACTTCACTGACACAGATATGGTCGTTCAAATCGTCGTATTTCGAGAGTTGGACGATATTGTCACCGGACTTGAGGCGTACGATGCGATTTTTCGAAAGAAATACTACATACCTGCTGTGGTAGAAAGCAAACGTCCTCACTACGTTAAGTCGATCGACTTGACCAAGTTACTGTCAATGTAAGCCACAATCAAGACCACTGCTCATTAGCGAGGACCACCCGACCTTCAACACTAAAGAAAATGAAATAGCCATCGACTTCTCCTCAGTGCAATACACGAACCCACTTGTTCTCAGGATGTGGTATATAGCTGCTGCTGCTAGCGCTAGTGGCTTCCTCCGAGACTTCCTCACTCTTCCTCACTTTTGTCAACTCGCGTAATAGCAAGAACATCTACGTCTAAATGGCGGGGGGTAAGAGTCAAGCCACTCTTTACAAGTGGCACCTCAAACGGACGGATCCGCGTTACGGATGCGCTCAGTGTGAGCAGTTGTTGGATTACAATCTGCGTAGATGAATAAACCAGCTTACCAAACAAACAAGCAAGCAGCCCCGATGGCACTTTGAAAGTGAGTTGATGCGAAATGCAACGTGTTGATTGTCGAAAAGTTTAGAGTGAATGCATATCGGCTAAGACTCCGTTCTTCATCACGATATCCATGAGCAGCTTCGGAGCGACTTGGGCATTTGTGAAAGCTGATGACATGTGATATTTGATCCGGTTCGACGCGGATGTGGTCAGTTACGTCGAGGTGATAGTTGCAGCAGTAAGGGCGACTGAGGGCGACATTGTCGAGCGAATGTACGTTGGCGCCATGGAGATAGCAAGATTTGCTGGGGTGTCGGCAGGAGTGACAGCGGGAGCTTGAGAAAGAGTCGGAGTAGATAGTGGGGCAGTAGTTGGGGCCACTACCGATGCCTTCGTATCAGTTGCCGGGACTACTGCACGCAGAAGGTCCACAACGTGACCGGCTAAAGCCCCAGTGTCACCACTCTTTGCCGCCGATATGATACCCACAGCGCTAGAAAGCACGCTGGGTGTCGTCACGATGCGTGCCAAAATATCAAAAAGGTCTTGAGTACTCATGGTAATAGCTGAGCCCGTTTTTTGGGCGTTCGGCAGAATCTCTTTGATGATGTCTGCAAGTTGCACGTGGTCACTCAGCGAGATGACAATGTTGCTATCGGTCACGAGGATAGTGTTGTTCTTGGCATTCAACTTGTTGCTGATGACACCGACTGGAACGGACAGCGAGGAGCTACCTTTTCCGGGTTTGGCGGGGTTCACGTCAGTAGCTGTCATGTCGTTCACCATTTGGTGATCGGCTGCCACGAATGACACCAAACATACCAGAGTGATAGCGATCGCAGCAATTGAAGTCTTCATCGGGTAGCTTGGGTGTTGAAGCTAAGGTCGACTTGAGTACTTGGAGTCCAATAGAACAATGACAGAGGAATGAAAACCCGCGGTAAAGCTGTGTTAAAGCTGCTGCATACGAAAGACCGATCTCGCGGAAATGACAAAGAAACACCGTGTAGAAATCTCCAGACCTACGACGATAATCTTACTTGAACTTTCAATTTGAGTTTGAACACAAACGCTGGGCTGAACGACATAGATGTAGGAAGTAGTGCGACTAGTTCCGAGTCTACATGATCGACATTATAAAGGTGTGGCAATCATATCGGAAGCAGACATCGGTGGTAGACGATATCCACTGAGAACGTCAGCACACGTATCATACTAGTCTTATCATACTAGCACTTCTTTGGGCCATTTGCTCGTCATTGTGGTCGGATTCAAGACTAATATGATACGACTAGTCTTGAATCTGCCAGCCGACCCCAATGACGAGCCAAATGGTCCAAGAAGTGCTAGTTGATTCTTTTTTCTTCAAATAACGACACCTTGTCCGTCTCTGCTGCGAAAGTCTGTCAGCTGGATCGCACACGCAATGGCAAGTACAGCATTGACAAGCTTGGTAGTACGTCTGATGGTACTTGTTTCACCTACTTCATCTCGTGAGAGCGCCACCACCACTCACACCAAGACTGGTCGTACGTTCTTCATGTTCACGTCGACAATCGGCGCAGGGATGCCTCGCGTTGAAACAATCGTCAACATCTTGTGTGTGACCGAGTGCTTCGGATCGAGACGTCGCTAAGTGGATCAATGACTAAGGTGATGCAAGGAAAAGACTTTCTGAAACTGTTGGAACGGTACTTAGCAAGGGCTACTGAGAACGTGATCCACGGGGTCTTTTTCGCAGACGTGGTCGAGGACTTCACTGACACAGATATGGTCGTTCAAATCGTCGTATTTCGAGAGTTGGACGATATTGTCACCGGACTTGAGGCGTACGATGCGATTTTTCGAAAGAAATACTACATACCTGCTGTGGTAGAAAGCAAACGTCCTCACTACGTTAAGTCGATCGACTTGACCAAGTTACTGTCAATGTAAGCCACAATCAAACCACTGCTCATTAGCGAGGACCACCCGACCTTCAACACTAAAGAAAATGAAATAGCCATCGACTTCTCCTCAGTGCAATACACGAACCCACTTGTTCTCAGGATGTGGTATATAGCTGCTGCTGCTAGCGCTAGTGGCTTCCTCCGAGACTTCCTCACTCTTCCTCACTTTTGTCAACTCGCGTAATAGCAAGAACATCTACGTCTAAATGGCGGGGGGTAAGAGTCAAGCCACTCTTTACAAGTGGCACCTCAAACGGACGGATCCGCGTTACGGATGCGCTCAGTGTGAGCAGTTGTTGGATTACAATCTGCGTAGATGAATAAACCAGCTTACCAAACAAACAAGCAAGCAGCCCCGATGGCACTTTGAAAGTGAGTTGATGCGAAATGCAACGTGTTGATTGTCGAAAAGTTTAGAGTGAACAATGCATATCGGCTAAGACTCCGTTCTTCATCACGATATCCATGAGCAGCTTCGGAGCGACTTGGGCATTTGTGAAAGCTGATGACATGTGATATTTGATCCGGTTCGACGCGGATGTGGTCAGTTACGTCGAGGTGATAGTTGCAGCAGTAAGGGCGACTGAGGGCGACATTGTCGAGCGAATGTACGTTGGCGCCATGGAGATAGCAAGATTTGCTGGGGTGTCGGCAGGAGTGACAGCGGGAGCTTGAGAAAGAGTCGGAGTAGATAGTGGGGCAGTAGTTGGGGCCACTACCGGTGCCTTCGTATTAGTTGCCGGGACTACTGCACGCAGAAGGTCCACAACGTGACCGGCTAAAGCCCCAGTGTCACCACTCTTTGCCGCCGATATGATACCCACAGCGCTAGAAAGCACGCTGGGTGTCGTCACGATGCGTGCCAAAATATCAAAAAGGTCTTGAGTACTCATGGTAATAGCTGAGCCCGTTTTTTGGGCGTTCGGCAGAATCTCTTTGATGATGTCTGCAAGTTGCACGTGGTCACTCAGCGAGATGACAATGTTGCTATCGGTCACAAGGATAGTGTTGTTCTTGGCATTCAACTTGTTGCTGATGACACCGACTGGAACGGACAGCGAGGAGCTACCTTTTCCGGGCTTGGTGGGGTTCACGTCAGTAGCTGTCATGTCGTTCACCATTTGGTGATCGGCTGCCACGAATGACACCAAACATACCAGAGTGATAGCGATCGCAGCAATTGAAGTCTTCATCGGGTAGCTTGGGTGTTGAAGCTAAGGTCGACTTGAGTACTTGGAGTCCAATAGAACAATGACAGAGGAATGAAAACCCGCGGTAAAGCTGGGTTAAAGCTGCTGCATACGAAAGACCGATCTCGCGGAAATGACAAAGAAACACCGTGTAGAAATCTCCAGACCTACGACGATAATCTTACTTGAAACTTTCAATTTGAGTTTGAACACAAACGCTGGGCTGAACGACATAGATGTAGGAAGTAGTGCGACTAGTTCCGAGTCTACATGATCGACATTATAAAGGTGTGGCAATCATATCGGAAGCAGACATCGGTGGTAGACGATATCCACTGAGAACGTCAGCACACGTATCATATTAGTCTTATCATACTAGCACTTCTTTGGGCCATTTGCTCGTCATTGTGGTCGGATTCAAGACTAATATGATACGACTAGTCTTGAATCTGCCAGCCGACCCCAATGACGAGCCAAATGGTCCAAGAAGTGCTAGTTGATTCTTTTTCTTCTTCAAATAACGACACCTTGTCCCTCTCTGCTGCGAAAGTCTGTCAGTTGGATCGCACACGCAATGGCAAGTACAGCATTGACAAGCTCGGTAGTACGTCTGATGGTACTTGTTTCACCTACTTCATCTCGTGAGAGCGTCACCACCACTCACACCAAGACTGGTCGTACGTTCTTCATGTTCACGTCGACAATCGGCGCAGGGATGCCTCGCGTTGAAACAATCGTCAACATCTTGTGTGTGGCCGAGTGCTTCGGATCGAGACGTCGTTAAGTGGATCAATGACTAAGGTGATGCAAGGAAAAGACTTTCTGAAACTGTTGGAACGGTACTTAGCAAGAGCTACTGAGAACGTGATCCACGGGGTCTTTTTCGCCACAGACGTGGTCGAGGACTTCACTGACACAGATATGGTCGTCGTTAAAATCGTCGTATTCTGAGAGGTGGACGATCTTGTCACCGGACTTGAGGCGTACGATGCGACTTGCACGCAGAAGGTCCACAACGTGACCGGCTAAAGCCCCAGTGTCACCACTCTTTGCCGCCGATATGATACCCACAGCGCTAGAAAGCACGCTGGGTGTCGTCACGATGCGTGCCAAAATATCAAAAAGGTCTTGAGTACTCATGGTAATAGCTGAGCCCGTTTTCCGGGCGTTCGGCAGAATCTTTTTGATGATGTCTGCAAGTTGCACGTGGTCACTCAGCGAGATGACAATGTTGCTATCGGTCACAAGTATAGTGTTGTTCTTGGCATTCAACTTGTTGCTGATGACACCGACTGGAACGGACAGCGAGGAGCTACCTTTTCCGTGCTTGGTGGGGTTCACGTCAGTAGCTTTCATGTCGTTCACCATTTGGTGATCGGCTGCCACGAACGACACCAAACCTCTGACCAAGCTATGGCTTCGGACACAAACCCCAACCAAGCTACGCTTTCAGCAGACAAAACCATACCCATGATACCCGCTATGCGCGGACAAGGTACCCCTTCACACGCGGC